AAAAAAGAAGACGAGCCGAGCCGAAAAGAAGAAGATATCATCAAGGTCGTTAACGCTGAAATGCTCCGATAAATAATTCCCATGAGCCTGTGCCCTCATGGTGCCCTCCTGATAGTTGCCTGTTTCGGGTGGATTTTTTTTTTCTTTTTGTTGTAATTTCGTTATATTTCATTTTGCTCTGTCAGTTCCGTGTACCCATGATGCCATCAAACCCAAACGTCTGACAAACCCTGTTGACCGGTCGGCCTGTGTAAGCCTGTTCCCATCACCCCCTGTTATACACTTTCCCCATGAAAAAGATGCTACCAATAGTGATGCGGAAAAGCCAAACGTAAAAAGGAATAAAGTAAAGTAAGGAGAAAAAAAAAAAATAGAAAAGAAAAGAAAAGGAAAGGAAAAAGACAACAAGGGGTAAGTTGAGCCACTGGGGATGATGAGGCTGGGTTCAATTTCACGATTTCAAGACTAGGTATTGTCAAGCGCGATAGGCGGTATTCTCGGGCGAGTTATGAGAAATGGAAAGGTAAAGAAATAGCTCCGCATGATATACACCTGGCGTATACAGAAAGAAGTATACTGATAAAGGTCCAAAACACGAGAAGATGAAAAGCTTGGGAGAAAAAAGGAAGAAATCATGTACATTGAAGAAAAGAAAAGAGTAAGAAATCTGGGAAAAGGAGAAGGAGAAAGAGAAAATAGAAAGCATTAAAGAGCATAGACTCATAATTAGTGCGTGGTGAAGGAGATAGGAAAGAAAAGATGTTTGTGTCCACACAATGCCACTGTCCTGGGTAGATTGTAGAGACGCTGAAAAACAGGTCAAGAAAGGTAAAGTACAAATGTTCGAGGGAGACAAGTCCCACTCGAACATTTGACGGCAATAGAATAAAATGGAAGAATAAATCGAAAGAAAACGAACAAAGTCGGTTCATCTGCAGATGAGTGCCAGCTCAAAAAGGAGAATCCGAAGGTAAGGCAATGCAAATGCTGCTTAGATCAGGGCTGAGACAATCCGAAATATCAAGGGGATGCAATGAAATGAGAGTATGGTCTCTCTGCCTCTCTGGCAGGAAGTGGAAGAAGGACGAGAAACAGGTTGGTGGTCGCCTGTTAAGCTTAGCATGTAGCCTCAGCACGTTTGGATTTGCTGGAGGTACGCTTGGCTAGCTGCTCTCCATGGAACTGACGAAGATGCTCGGTAAGATGGTCTTCGCGAGTGAAACCCATGAAGCCCTTACGGTTGCAGCGTGGCTTGGGGCAATCCATTCTCGTCGGGAAGTGGATTGATTTCTGGTGTCGGCTCAGATCAGCTACCCGACTGAACGAGCCTTCACAATTTTCGTACAGGCAGATAAACCGCTGGGTTGACCTAGATGGGTGGCAACACGGGTTAGTCTATCTGTTATGGTAACGTGATTGATGGGTAAAGTATGGGGTTGAAGTTGGGGTTGGGGTTGGAGTGGCAACGTACCTCTCTGCAGCTGTTGATGATCTGGGGCTGGAGGGAAGGGCAGCCATGGTCTGGCCATCAAAGACATACTCCTGATTGGACGAGGTGGAGTGGCTTTTAGGCCGCCCCTGCGTCGAGCTACGTGGCTCGTACTCGCAGGTAGCATCATATTCATATGAACTCGGGGGTGAGTGACATGACTGGATGGTGTTGTAGTATGTTGACGCTGCGCTGTATGATGTGGAGATGGATAGGTTGCTGTCCGTCGAGCTTGAGTAGGCCATGGGAGGAGCCTGAGAAGAGAGATAGCCTGGCTGCGACCGAGTTGAGGTAGTGTAGGTATTATCAAGGGTTTCTCTCCATGACTCCCCACGGACGGGAGACTGGTAGGTAGTCTGCCTCTGACGGTAAGGGAGAGACATGATATGAGTAGTGAAGGTTGGGACGGGTAGTTGGTAGTGTTGAATGTCAAGCCGTAGGCAGAAGAGTAAGGTCTTTGAGCAAAAGGGAGCTCCAAGAGTATTGTATGTAATGTCTTTCAAGTAGTATGGTGATTGTGAATGAGGAGGGATGGAGAAAGAAGGGGGATCACTGATGATATTTTATATACCCCTTCAGGTACCAGCGAGGAAAGGAGGCGAACCTTCACCTAGCACAAGAAATGGCAGCCTTTGCAGCCACACGTGACAAGGGAAGGGGAAAGGGAAGGAAAAGGGAAACAGCAGAAAGCAGCAGATCCCCAGATAACCTAAGCAGGAATGCAAGACAAGCAGAATGATGCCCATCGAACGTTTCACAGCCTCGGTGTGTTAACGAGCTGACTCGAGGGGTAAACGACGAGGGGACGATGAGTTCGATTGAAACAACAGCAAAGAGTGAAGCTAGCGGTTATGCTACCCCCATGCACTTGGAAACACCCAGTAGATTGGTTGGCCAGATAACTCGCTGGTCCCAGGTGGCACGATTACATGAGCGGGCAGCAAGTGCTTCTCTGTTTTGAAAAAATAAAATAGAATAGAAAATAAGGAGTGCACTTTGCACGTGGAAGAAGAGTGATGGGAACACAGCCTCTCTGTAAGAGTACGAGAGAGGAAATGACGTCGGGGAAAGAGGCGGGTACGTATCAGAGACGCAAAGAATTGGTTAGGGGGAGGAAGAAGAAGTGAAGCAGAATGGTATTTGGCCGTAAGCGAATATCAGCTCGATGCTGATAGGAGACAAGCCTAATCATAAGGACAGTAGAAGAAGGGGCAGCGGGATGGAAACCGCCGAGTTGAGTATGGAGTAATAAGAGCAACCTCTTAAACAAAGGAATGGCGGTACATGCAGAGTCAGCTTCGACCGGCAATCGGCGCCGGAAATCAGATATCAGAGGAAGAGACGTAGAATAGCCGGAGGGGTGACAAGAGTGACCTTGGGTCCCACAGCGGGCAAGGCGGAGGAGACCTTGGATGGTTTACAAACGAGCATATGCAGTGGTAAGAGGAAGGGTGATATGGAGATCAAGTTCGCATAGACAGAGCTAACTTAGACCGGAGCGAAAACTCCACGGAAGGGCAGACGCAGACTGGCTGGTCAACTAGTCATCGAGATGGGATAGGATGGGATGGTGGTGTGTGTATGAGACGGAGACCGACTGCTCAGCCCTCCCATCCATCTCGCCTTCGCCTCATTCCAGTAAGCCAGCTAGTTAGCCCATGGGTTGTTAGTCTGATACGGGCACCACCCTTATTGCGGTGAAGGAAAGGCCTCTCTCGTAAATATCGATGACGGGGCGGGCCGACAATGGAGCCTGAAGATGAGGGATTTCCATCACGGTGATATTGTTTGGATGGGCAAAGGATGAGTGATAGACCGGGTGTCTGCAAGATGCAGTGGTCGTTTGGATCTTCTTCCTGTGGTTGCTCCACAAGAGTCGTTCCTTTTTTAGGGCCGTTTAGGCCATGTCGACAGGCCAGAAAAAAAGAAAAGAGAACCCCGGCCGCTCGCTCTCACTGGCCAGAGAATGTTCCTTGACCAGTCAATCAATAACGGGCCTGCTGTTAATAATAACCCTGCAATAGAGATGCACCCCGTGTAACCTGCTAAATCGTGTGCGACCTGTCGACTTGGTTAGCCAAGCACAGAGTATATTCAGATGCAGCACGGTATGTACACGGTTACGGAGAGTAATCAGAGAGCGAGAGGTGTACTATGCAGGCGTCGGGCAGATGCTGTGCAGCGTTCACCATCAATCATCAAGCATCACCAGCGTCACCTCAGTGCCTCCGTCAGGTACGTGGCCATGCAGACGTTTCAAACCCGACCACCCCGGCCTAATGAGGTTGCTGTGGTCACCACCATCGCCGTCATTGTGTCTCTGTCTCTGCTATCCTGTTTCTCTCTCCGCTTCTCTGACGTCTTTTCTGTGCCAGCAAGTCGCTGGATGTTTGTTGTCTTCATCTTCGTCGTCGTCTTTTTCCTCTTCTGGAAGAGGTTGGAAGTCGCTCTGTCTTGCTTATCTAAGCACATCCCCATTTTCGTCCTTCTTCGTCTTCTTCGTCTTTCTTCATCTTCAACGTCAAACATCGAATGTCAGGCATCAAAACGACCAGCATCGCCCATCCTCTCCCTTCTAGCCCGTCTTCTGGCCCGTCCTTCGTCTCTTGCTGGCAGTGCAATGGTCCCTTAGCTTCATCGACCGATTAAAAATGCCGCAAGCCAGCCTGGCGTGGCAGGGTAGGGCGAGGCGGACTTTCGCTTCTAGCTTTTCGGCCTTGGGAGAGAAGAACTGGCTGACAGACTGACAGACTCAACTCGAGGATCACAGTTGATAGAGAATAGAGAAAAGAGAAAACTCGAGACCATACAGACTCCTTCGTGCTGCTTCTACTGACACAGCCTTTGCAACCCTCGCTATCTCCAGTGCGCAACACACTGGGCTGGGCCGCACATGCAACCGATTCAGGTATCAGGCAGGCCTCTACACGAAGCACCCCAAGGCAAAGCGCAAAGAGGGCGTCAAGGCATCCATCTCATCAGGGGGAATCAATCACAGCAGCCCATCTCCGAGGAAATAACCTTTTCAGTCCAGTTAATTATGTTTTCATCTTTTACGCGGCATTGGACAGCCTATCAAAACATGCAATGACTTAGAGCTGATAACACAGCAAGAGATAGCAGACGTCGGACATTAGAAATCAGGAACGAGAAGAGGCTTGCCGGCATCAGCGGTCTTATAAGTTACTGAACATGTCTTATTCTCTTTCCTCCGCTATTAGCTATTGCTATCTCGTGGAACAATCAGTCTCTTTATCGTCGTCCTTTTTGCTGCCCTGCTTTCTTGATGCCCAACTTGATCACTCATTATCAATTTCACAAGGAGGGACAGTTTTTCTCGAACCAATAGCCAGCACTACCGAGGCTACCAACCAGCCAACCAGTGCAATAAACACACGTCGCCTTATAGGACTGGATCATGAGACTCCCGAGAAGCGAATAAGCCTTCTCTCGTTTCATTTTATTTTTGGCGAGGTCAAACTTGAATGCTGTAACTAAATGGTCTTCTTCCAGCACTGCCTCAAAACCATGAATGCCAAATGAAAGGATAAATCCAACAATAAAGTAAACCGTGTGCCTAGAGGCTGGAAAAGGCTCGAAGGGCTCTTTCGCCTTGACTACTATGATCAGGTGAGAAAAACCGAAATACTCCTTGAAAGCAGCCTCAGCTTTTTTGCCGATGGCCCGTCCCTCTTCACTACCCCGGCATTTAGTTACATCGCGCTAGCACTGCCCCCCTGATCGATGCCAATAATGATTCTGCCTGCGCTTGAACCCCCACAAGAGAAGGATTCGAGAAGAAGCGGAGACTAGAAAACACGACGAGGACTGGGGGGCTGTTCTGCAGGTGAGGGAGTCCTGAACTTGGCTTGTCTTGCTCTCTGATTGCGAGGGAATATTCCGGCGAAGTAACCGGGTAAAGGCACATAGAGACAGAGAGACACTGGAGAACCAGGAGAAGCAAAAAGAAGGTGGGAATGGGAAAAGCAAAAGTTGCCGATTTGCGCCAAATACACTCTCGAAGAGACTCGGAAGAAGTACGGAGTAGTAGTTCACAAATTAAAATGACATCACACCGGGAAGAAGACAGAAAAGAAATCAAACAGGTTAAACTCCCTCCCAGCCAATTCCAGTCCCAGGTAACTAAAAAATTGCCTATCATTTCACTTTACTCATTCCCCATTCCCATTCATCCAATGGATAGAAAACAAGAAGCTAAAAAAAGAGATAAAACGCGGAAGTTGCGGGAGAGTAAGATACGTAGTTATGTGAGTGCAGGAGGAATTAGGAAGATGCAGGACCAAAGGTAGGACTGAAGGAGTAAAAAGGAGATTGGGGCGAGACGGGACAGTAGAGGGAGGTGTATTGTACTTCAACAGAATCGATTGTCATTGTATTTGGCGGACACTGACAGACGGTCTTGCACTGTTTTACAAATCATCTTCAAGATACTTGTAGACAAATTTAAAATCACCTTTTCGTCGGTTCATCCTATTAGCAGCCACGATATTATTAGTATAAGCTGTTTTTGACGCCCGCCGTGGGACAGTAACCAAATGCCGAGACAGGGTACACAACCCCAAGCTTTACCAAGACAAAGATGGGGGTCGAATATAACTTACCAGGTGCTTTCATAATCAAAGAACCGATAGGTACCCTGCTCATATTCCTCAGTAATGTTCTTTGGTTCCTCATGGCGCTGGAACCAGGTCTGGTATAGCTTGTGGAAGCGCCAGCTTTGGTTCTTGAGGGCCTTGGCAGCCAGGTACTGCTGATACGTGGACTGACGGTAGTAGAAGAGATAGAACAGCGTGTCTGTATCTATTCTGCCAGTCTCGTATAGTCGTGGATCGTCGAATATGGGTAATGTCTCCTGAGGGTAATAAAGTGGCGTTGTGTATGGCGTCTGGGGCTTGTAATGACGGGGTTTTTCCGCATCTCCCGGCTCTGGGCATGTACTATGTGAGGCTACCAATAACCGCTGTACGGACGTTGATTGAGGAGCCGTCGATCGCGACTTGGTCACCTCGAAGGAATGAATCAGATCTTGGAGACCTGGAGGAAGATGATATACCGATTCGTCTGCAGCCGGTTCGTTTGGACTCTTCCCCTTTGCTTGGCCATTCGTCACTGTACGCTCCTTATTAGAGGCCGACGTTGATGCAGCCGGGGTTGTTGCTGATGTTTCTGTTTTGGACATCGCGGGTGTAGGAGGCATGGTCCCCGGTCGGCTGGCTGCAGTCACACTCGGACTTAATGTAGGTGACTTAGATTGACTCCCTGACTCGTCTGCGCTGCCGGCAGAGGACATCAGCCGTTGTACCTGCACTGGCTGTGCGGGCTGAACCATAGGTGACGCCGTTGACGACGCTTTGGAAGCAAGCTGTGCTGCTGATACCGCGGGACTGGCACCAGGTGGTGGTGGGAGGGGTGCGATCCCAACACCAGCCTTGTCACTGGCAGCAGCGGCAGCGGCAGCAGAGGCATATTTGAGAGTCTCTCCAGGTAACCGTGCCGGAGGAGGTGCAGGTTTCATTGAGCTTGCTGAGGATGACGAAGGACCATTAAGATGGAGCGTGGCAAGGACGGGTAGAGGGGATTTCATCTGTGTTGATGGCCGTCGTGCAGGACCTGAATCTGACTTGCCCTTGTTGGCCTGCCGGGATTCCGCATCATCTTCCTGTATCGATTGGGTGTCTTGTGATGATACCCGGTCGTTGTCGTTGTTCATGCCGAACTGGACCTCATCGTCGCCTAGCGGTATGTCGTCGTAGATGGTCTCGTCCTCTCCGCAAAAGTCGGGATTATGGCCGTCCTCGGCATAATATTTGATGGCTTCTTGAGCATCAAGCACTTGTTGTGTTTCGACATTGCCGTTCTGTAATGATCGTAGGAGTAATTCTAGCTTCCCAACGTGCCATTTATGTCGTTCCGATAACCGTTCGATATCCGCTAACCGATTCGACTTGGCAATGTCCCTCTTGCCCTTTTTCATTGACGCTTGTATAGACTCTTCTTCAGCTTCCATAGCCTCTATTTTCTGCTGTAGAATGTCAACTGTTGAGGAGAGAAAATCACACGTGTCGGCTTTCTCTTTCTCCTTGGGATCCAGGCGCGCAGCAGCCGAAAGCCCCTCTTTCGAGTAGGCCTTGGTCTTCATTTCCTTCTCTACAGCCTTAAACTGTTCCATACACTAGATCTGAGTGTTAGTATCGCCTCCCTAACGCTGGCTAGGGTAAGAAAGGGGGAATATATAGTGCGCACTGTTTCTATGGCTCGCCGTTGTTCCAGCAGCGGGCTTTTGTCCTTGACCTCATTTCCGGCAGCCCATGTCTTGATCTGGTCTCTAAACCGTTGTAGTTTCTTGATCTCTCGTTTAAGATTGTCTTCAAGCTTGTCTCGTTGGGCGGCATTGCTGGAGCTTCGGATCTTCTCATATATCCCTTCAAAAGATTGTATGCCCTCACCGACCTTCTTGAAGGTCTTGTCGATTTCTTGCTGCGTTTTTCGGGAAGTCATGATGATGTCTTCATAACCTGGCTCTCAGTAGTGCTCTATCCGAAGCTCAAGATAGTTATGCGTGGGCGTGCGTGCAGGAACTGAAGGAGTGGTACAGGGTGTGGATGAGGTCAACCCGGTTGCGAGGGAAACGGATCACGAAATCGGGCAGCTTCGGCGTAGCGCTGGGACAATGGTTTCCGTTACCGTGCAGACGCGTGTGAATTCAGCTGAGCGAGAGGTCGAATGCGAGATGCGAGATGCGGGAAGCTGTTCGGTTGCTTTCGAACTGCTTCATCTTCATCTTCATCTTCATCGTCCATCAAGAAGCTGCGCCAAGCCGATTTGTGCCAAGAAATCTTGGAAGCCGAAACTCACGGAAGAACTTAGGCGCCGGATCACGTGAGTGCGCCCGATCTGGATATTTTCAACTTCACTTCGTCGTTTCTCGCTTGTCCGACGGCATCGACGGCACCGATGACGGCTTTTGGCTGACTTGCCGGGTGATTCAGATGCGGTAACCGTCATGTGTCGCATATCCAGCAGTTGCAGTGGCTGAGATGGGTACTTTCAACTAGATGACGGGCTTGAGGACAAGGAGGAGGGGATCAAAATAATGCAAGCAGGTAGCCGCCAGGCTACAGAAATCCCCTCCGATCCATGGGAAGCAATCAGTCGAATCTGCAATTCCCTTCTTGAGACGACCTTCCTCATGTCAATTACGGAGGATAATTCATGCATCACTGTGCCGCAGATAGCCCCATGCCGCCTTCCGCTGGACATCTAGGCTCCCCTGTTGATACATGGCGTTTTATCCAGTGCGGGCGATAGATTGACGACAACGACGACTAATCTGACCGTTCTCCAAGAAGCTAGCTCAGGCTGTACTACCTCACAGTTTGGAATGTGTCTAAGAATAAGCTGCTGTATCTGAGATGTATCGGAGATAATACGGGGTTTATACGGTACTACTTCATGCCTCTTTTTAGGAGCCTTTGGTCTCAAGTGTGTGTGGGGGATCACCTCACTTATTACAGGTAGAGATGCATGTAGAATAGCCTCTTCTGTCCTCCATTGACTGTAAAGAGCCTCGCCTGTGAGACTCGCATGTAACTAGCCATTGTAAATCACCGGCTGAGCCATCAAATGCTGACTAATAATATAATATTTTCTATATCAACTTGCTATGATTTATACATTCGTCGAAAATAAAAAGACAAAGTACTTCCATACATGGCATCCAGATAATGACATAGCCGTGATACTATTTTAAGATCTCCGCTCGTCGCAGGGAAGATGAAAGGTGTGACATCCCTTTCTCCCCTCTTTTCTCCCATTATTCAGCCCTGGGAACACAGCCGGCGTAGCACATCTTGACTAACTACTTCTGACCATCTCCTTGACCTGTTGATCCAGCGATCTTACAAAGAGTGACATCTGCCTCGGTTACTGTTGATAAACAGCTCGTTTCGTCGATTGGCCGTGGAGTGCTGGTGTTTGCCGCTGTCGGGCCAGATGATACCCAGAAAGATGCAGATACCCTAGCGGCCAAGCTGTTGAAGCTGAAGATGTGGCCTGATGAAACCGGGGCAAATGTACCTATCCTCCTCTCATGTACCCCCAAATCGGATCTATAACAATAGCAGTGCTGATATAGCCCTATTTGGTTATTTCCAGTGGAAGAAGAACGTGCAAGACATCCAGGGGGAGGTTCTCTGCGGTACGTAGATACATCCATATTATATCACCTATTGGATAGTTACCAAGTTTGCCCCCCTCGGTTACCCTCTCCCAGGCTAATGCATGTATCTATTTGCCGAACAGTGTCACAATTCACGCTGCTTGCTACTTTGAAAAAAGGCAATAAGCCCGACTTCCACAAAGCAGCAGATCCTAAGACGGCTCGAGAGCTGTATGAGTACTTCCACTCAAAGGTGCAGAATTTGTACACTGCAGAGCGGGTTAAGGACGGAGTTTTCCAAGCCATGATGGAGGTAGGTTTAGTCAACGATGGACCGGTATGTATCTGTGCTCCTTTGCCCTTGTTCTTTGTACTCGTATAGCGCCGGTGCTAAGGAGGGTTCAGGTCACGCTCGAGATCGACACAAATCCAGCAAAGAAGGAAGACAACGCCAGTGCCAGTGCCAGTGCCAGCTAGGCATCTCATCTATCGTAGGCCACCTGTCGCATCCCAGGACTGCTTGTTGTATCTTTATAATAGACTTAGATATCAAAGACGTTGATTTCCCAAAGCGGAATTAGGGCTTAGGGCTCGAGGTGGCTGCTCTTAGCGCGGGGATGTTTGCACTGTTTGCCTCCCGCGCGGGTCCCCAAAGCGTAGAAGGTTCCTGAACTTCCTCTGCCTCTTCTTCTTTTAATCTTCCTGCTTTCGCTTTCTTCTTCACTTCCTCGCTTTCTCACCTCTGCCTCAGTTATTTGTGATATCAGACACTCACCCTGTGCTAGTCAGAAGACGGTTATCGAAGAAGATAGACCTACACAGTGCAATTGTGCCTGGCCGACGAAACCATGGCTGAAACCTTAGGTACATAGAGCATAATTTCTTAACCTCTAGAGCCTCTTGCTGACCGACACCTGCTTCCAGGAGTTCGCCCGCGCGTATACTTTGACATCGAGATTGGCGGAAGACCAGAGGGAAGGGTTGTGTTTGAATTGGTAAGCTTCGCAAAGTCTGGTCGAGCTTGGTTATCGGTGCCTTGCTGACTTATTACTAACTGGTGGCCAACGATATGTAGTACAACGATGGTTAGCATCCAGCTTCTTCTACTCGGAGAGACAGAACGAGAAAAAGCTGACGTGAAACAGTCGTCCCCAAGACCGCAGAGAATTTTCGTGCCCTCTGCACTGGAGAAAAGGGAGAGGGCAAGTCTGGAAAGCCATTGAGCTACAAGGGTGCGTACATCAGTGCTTTTCTTTTGCTACATTGGGCTTTGGTGAAGCCATTTCTAAGTTCATCCTTCTACTAGGATCTATCTTCCACCGAGTTATCAAGCAGTTCATGATCCAGGGTGGTGATTTCACCGAGTTTAACGGCACTGGTGGAGAGTCAATCTATGGGGAGAAATTCGACGATGAGAACTTCGAGCTCAAGCATGACCGTCCATTCCTGCTCTCCATGGCCAACTCCGGACCCGGAACCAATGGAAGCCAGTTCTTTGTTACTACTGTTCCCACCCCTCATCTTGATGGAAAGCACGTCGTATTCGGAGAGGTGATCAACGGCAAAGGACTTGTCCGCAAGGTAGAACAACTCCCAACCAGCCCTGGTGACAAGCCACACTCAGAAGTCAAGGTCGTTGCCTGCGGTGAAATTACGGGCGATGACTATGAAACCGCTACTAAGCGTGCTGTGGACCCAACTGGAGATACATATGAAGACTATCCAGAAGACAACAACCAGGAGTTCACTGGTCCCGAGTATTTCAAGATCGCCACTGAACTCAAGGAGTTTGGCAACACTGCTTTCAAGTCTGGTGATGTGCAGCTAGGTCTGGAGAAATACCAAAAGGGTCTGCGCTATCTTAATGAATATGCCGAGCCTTCTGAGAATGATCCCCCAGAGCTTGCTGGACAGATGATGACTCTCCGATTTGCCCTCCACTCTAACTCCGCCCTGCTTGCTAACAAATTGAAACGCTACAATGACGGCCGAACCTGGGCTGGATATGCTCTTGACCAAGCCGATCATGCCAAAGCCAAGGATGCAGACCGGGCAAAGGCCCTCTATCGACGAGCCGTTGCCCTCGCTGGATTGAAGGAGGAGGACGAGGCTCTCAAGGATCTGGAAGCTGCTGCCAAGTTTGCCCCCAACGACGCTGGAATCATTGCCGAGATCTCCCGTGTGAAGAAGAGTATTGCTGAGCAAGACCGCAAGGCCAAAGCTGCTGCAAAGAAATTCTTCTCCTAATTCATGGAAATTATGCGATATCGGCCCTAGCTATCGCATACAAGATGCAATATGCAACCCAAATCATGTACGCCAATTAACGACATTTCAATCCCTTTTTATATTAGAAAGGAACAAAGCGTGTAATTTAAATACGTTCTCGCTTTTTTCATCACTCACTGGACCATTTTTTTGCCATTTGGTTTACTGAAGAGGATAAGAAACCCTGGAGCCGGAGCCGGAGCCCATGGCGTTGGCTTTTTTTTTTTTTTTTTTTTTTTTTCTTCGCCCATTTTGTTTCTCCATGACTCTACATCTACATATCGATGCAGAATCATTTCAAAACAGGAAGTTATGCGGTTATTATATACTTGGAAATAATGCTCGACAGCATGCTTTGAGTGATAGCACGAACCCTTTACTGAGCTCTGCCAACTTTGGCAAGGTAAAGAATAATAAACCATCAGACTTCTGAAAGAGACAAGAAAAGGCTGAACTAGTTACTACCTAGTAATTAATAGTACTCTTGCAGGTTTGACACTAAACCTTGCGATCGCTGGTAAAGGCGCAACTCCCTAGATCCCTCTTCCTAGGAACAGCTTCAGGACGAATATCGAAGTCGAAAATATCCATGGGCACCCCCATCGTTGTACATGCATTCGGAATATCCACCAGCCCAGCAATATGGCCCTGGACTGGCGCACAACTAAGCAGCAGATACACCTGTTCATCCGAATACCCAAACCTACGCAGGTATTCAATCACCCTCCTACATGTCTCCCTGTAGGCAACAGTAGCATCCAGGTGATGCTGCTTCCCATTATGATCGACGCTGAATCCTTCAAAGGTCAGATATCGACCGGGTCCAAACTGGGGTTCGACTGGACCTGGTATGAAAATAGGAGATTTCATCGCCATTTGGGCCGTGCCGTTCTTGATCACGCTGAGTTTAACCGTGACGATACCAGCCATTTCGATAGCGCCACAGAAGGAGATCTCCCCGTCGCCTTGAGAGAAATGCAGGTCTCCTACAGAGAATTTGGCTCCCTTGACGTGCACGGGGAGGTAGACTTTGCTTCCACGGCTGAGGTTTTTGATATCACAGTTTCCACCATTTTCAGGTCGGCCCTGTATATAGTCTTAGTTACCACATGCTAGATGCAAAGGATCATAAACAAAAGGCGTCGTACAGGGACAGTCCGAGCTCCCTCCTTTTGTATTTTGGCCTTCAATTCGCCTGTAGCTCCTCCAGCATGTGCATTCTTGACCTCAGGTGGTTTCGCCACTTCTGATCCCAGGTTCTCTGCCATCAACTGTCCTTCTCTCCTGTTCCATTCAGCCAGGATCTCTGCAGATGGTGCGCATCCAAGGATTCCAGGATGAATTAATCCCGCAAATCGAACCCCAGGGATATGCCTCGAGGAGCAGAATATCCCTTCAAAGTCCCAGATTGCCTTCGCTCTATCTACATTATCAGACTGGATATCAATTAACTAAGACGGGCTGGCAGACTACTTACGCTTGCGGATAAAACTCTGACAGGAATCCTCCTCCGTTATTAGCTGCAAAGATTCCAGTGAACCCCCATGGTTCGTCCTGAAACGGCTGGACGTCCTGAATCTCAACGACGAGCACATCTCCAGGCTCTGCTGTTTCTATATCAAACGGGCCGCTTAAATAATGAACATGTGTCAAGTCAACATCACGGACATCATCTGCACAGTCGTTGTTCTTGATCTGCCCGCCGGTCCAGTCAAGGCATTCGATCTTGACTGTTTCGCCGTTCTTGATGCTGCCACAGGCGGGAACTATGTATATTTACACATAAGGTCAACTTATACTTCAATACTGATAATGGTGAAAGGAACCCACTAACTGTCAGGATGCCATCTATTCTGTTGATTTGTTTCATGTTAGTTTGTTGGCCGACTATATCGGTTCGTATAGTTACTTACGTGCACTCCTGGCTGCTCTGTTGCCGGCTTCCTGCGATCAACTCGCATCGCCGTCCGGATCTCGTTGAGGCCCATGGTAAATCTCTCGCATCAACACGTCAATATTTCGCTGACTCCTCAGAATATTATCTTCTAGTCCTGAATCTTGCTTGTGGTACGAGAAGGATATATGTCTATGCATGGACATGCTTCCCCGCAAAGAACTATGCAGCTCATGTCATGGTTCTTGATATATCCCTGAAGTGGCGTCAACCCCTTAACCTTAATCGTCACCATGTTTACTACCATTAGTTATACCGCTACCTGCACTCATCCTGTAAGATGAAAGGTATTGCTGTGCAGATTTACACAATATTTTCTACTGAAGAGTGCCAAATTGTATATTCCTACGAGGTACGGAGTATGGTCCTGCCTTTTGAGATGAACTGACTGCATATATTCAAGAATTATCAAAATGGCTATTAGATCGATATAACTATGCTGTGGAACCAACGCTTAGTTAGTTATGCCTTGCCACGTTGGTTAGAAGGGTCGTATGAGTATTCAGATGGTTCGTCAAACTCCTCCTCCTTCAACTCTCGCAGGAAGCCTCCATCGAGCAGCTCCTGAACACTAACTTTAAGATAAATCTGAGAGCCAAAGCCTGGTTGGCCAAACCAGCTAGCTACCGGCCCTAAGAAACCCGCGAAAGGTTTCATTACCTCATAAACGTGGTAGTTGTCCGGGTAGTTTCCTGATTTGCCTGGTGCGAGGTTCGGCGGTGGCAGCGCTCGCGAGATATACGATGATCCCAAAGGCGCAACGAACTTGCCCTTCGGGCTCCCAAATCGGTCCAGTTTTCTTCCTTTGGTTATAGTAGCCTCAGACATTATTGGTTTGCCCTGAGAGTCGAGCGCGAAACCGTCGAAATCCGGATAATTGAACCACTTCTTTGGGTCTAAGTCCCCGGCCCATCTCATAATGAACTCATCCGCGCAGAGGCCGCCGTATCTATAATACGTGGCTGTTTCAACCGACACAGGGAAACGGGTTGGTAGGGTCAGCGGTCCAAGCCGTGGGTCTCCGCACACCGAGTCTGAATGTTGGGGATCGTATTGGATATTCTTGCACGGGTTTGGATAGCATCTTTTGGGAAATATATCTGGCTATATATTTTGTCCATATGTAAGATTCGGCTGTTCAATGAGGAGGATATCGAGTGGTATCATATATAAACTATACCTCTTGTCTGGCTGATAGTCCCTGGTTTGTTTGAAGGGGAGTTGCCGACACTACCCCTAAGAAGCCGAGAGATGCGGAATAGGATAACACCTTTGAGAGCTTCATCTTTCTCGTGTGTAATGCTTCTCATGGGTGTTCACGTCAACGTTGAATCAATTGAGGAGGGAGACAGAACGCCCTTTATATTACTGCACTGCAGGAGAGGTGGATCCCAGTGTTACCCTAATGGCCTCAACTGGAGCTGGTTGTTATGCGCTTCCGTCCGATGCGTGGATCCTTCGCGTTTGGCATGTCAACAAATATATTTCGACCCTGGCTCTTCCAGTTGTCCAGGGATGCTGTGCTCCATGGCTACGGGCATTTTTTGTACCTGGATCACCTGAGGTAGCTAACAACATCGATATAGTTAGATTGTTCATGGCTATGTGAAGGGTCAAAGATGGGCCTATCTGGATCTTTTCGGTAAAAGCTTCCTCGTCAATGAGTCCTAATATTGAATATTTCGGTCCTGAGGCAGTTTTTGGGAGTGCGATCTTACGATCGGACAACAAGCTTGTCAACGAGTAATAGGGAGCCAAGGAAATGGTTAAGCTTACTCCGCTGCTTAACCGTTAACTGACTAGGTTCATGGGTAATCCAGTGGGGTTGACAGCAACAGCTTCTCAACGGTCGACTGTCAGGTGAGGCCGCAGAATTCTATATGTCCGACGGGCCAAGCGTTGGATCGGGGCGTTCATGCCTGAACCCCCCTTCTCCCCTCCCCCCCACAGATCCAGATAACTACCTTGGAAACCCTGGATGAGAGATATTCTCTCATTTTACGAGTGTTCCAAAGCTCCTTGTGGCGCTTGATAAGCTCTTCTCGACCGAGACTTGATTTAAACCCGTTTATATAGACCCCTTTTCACTCTGAGCGAACAAAGCTCAAGCATTCTCGGTATTCCCGAAGAAAGTTCCATTCTAGTAGGCGAATGGGAGAGTCCCACGTCGTAACTGCTCGTTGAGAGCAAACACTGAAAGGCTGCTATTCAGGGGGAAGGGAAAGCCAGGGGAAGCCAGTCAGGTCACCTAGTCCTGTGGGAAATGTCGAGATATCAAAATTTTCATTCATGAACCAAGTGGGCCATCGGTGACCCTGAGTAGCAAAACTGTAAATAATATCATGAATCTCAGGTGAGAGCATAGGAATCGGGCTTTTCCAGGTGCTGGATGAAGTCTCCTGGAGCTGCAGCCATGATGTGAGTCCACTATTCGGTGTTTATGATGGAAGTATCTGATATCTTCTCTCGGAGGAACCCAATTACCTTCGTAGCTGATAGTATCTTCGATACCTCATTCTCGGTCAGCATAAGATCCAAATTGGAATCAAGGCGATATTCGATATACGCTGTGAAACTATACAGGCCTGCTAGACTGTTACGCTCGATATACACTCATGTTTAGTTAAATTAGCTAGTTAACTACGGCAAATATGGGTTAAAAATCCGTCGATTCCTTCACTAGCCGTGCTCTCTTCTTCGCGGTTATCCATTGGGAAGTACAATGCTGCCGGCTGTGAATTAACTTGCTATATGGGCGCAGGAGATTCAGCTGTCTTACACTCGTCTTTTACGACCATACCATATAGGCGTCTCTAGCAACACAATATAAACTACGATTTGAAGGGAGAGCTGTTGCAAAGTTAACTGGTTCAAATTTATTTATTTATTTATTTTTATTTTTATTTTTTATTTTTTATTTTTTTTTTTTAATTGATAATTTTTTTTTTGATTGATAATTTGTGACTGTGCTCTGGATGTATCTCTTAAAGGGATCTGACTTTACTATGCTAAATGTCACCCCTATCTACGCAAGATGGGTTCATTAGATTGAGTCTTAGTCGAAGAAGCTGGAAATCCGCTTGAGGGGTGTTTTATGTATGGGTGAACGAGATAATCGGGCGTCAATATATTGTTAAAAAGAGTGCATAAACTGGTATGCTGCATATATTATTTTTTGCCATCCGAGATAGTGAAAATGAAATCATGATTCGAGTGATGATAAAAGGGTATAGATGTAATGGCCAGATCATCGTACCGTAGAGATGAGACGCTGAGAAGCGAGAATTCTCCGGTTAATCCCTTCATTGCATTTCTCAAGCTTAAACAGGCCAACAACAACTCCCACAACAACAGTCATGCCACCAACATTATGTTTGTTCACATTCCTGGGTATAGTTTCCTTCACTCGATAAATGAAAAAGGTGTGTATAATAAGTTACTGGATATATGTTTTTCTAGACCTTGGGTGTACATTGATAATCAGCGTCGTCTGCAACTTGCGACTCTTGCTTGACCCTTGTGTGCTCTTTGTTTACATATATTACAGTATCTGCATCTAGAGTCATGTCAGCTTCGTAAATCTCCTTAATTTTGTCTAAACTTACCTATTTCACCCTTCTTGTAGCATTCCTCTGCCCTCCGGACCTTGTAAATCTCATCCAGAATAACGAGTCTTTTATGAGGTTGTATGTGTCTGCGTACACCACGGCTAGCTTCCTCTAGCTTATCTGCAGTGATATCATGTGTATCTCCAAGGCTGCGGAAGATGTGGATAAGGAGGCGTATACATTCCGACTCCATCTGGCAGCTGAGCTCACGGCGGATGAAATTTTCTGGCCACCAGCTGGGCGTGGCCTCCGTTTGAGGCCCCTTCTTGTCTCCGTCATTTGAGTCATTGGCTTCATTGTGCGGGACCATCAATTTGGCGTATGACTTTACTATCTGGAGACAGTTGCTGTGCTGGAAGGCTGCAAACGCGGATTCATAGTAGGCCTCGACCTTCTGCTCATCTCCTATCTCAAGAGGAACCATCTCCACGCTATCGGGCTCTTCATCTAGTTGGGGCCTGGCGCAAGAAGCGGACGGTTTTTTCCCTATAATGGCATAAGCAAGTATTATATCAAACTGGTAAAGACAACAGTTTATACCTCGTAGTGGAGAAGAGCTAATGTTCTCTCCTGTACCTTGTTGTACTTTTCTAAATCCCAAGGGAAGAGAGTACCGCTGGGAGTGTGGGTAAGGGTACTGCAAGCTCGATGCTTTTCTAGAACTGACCATTTTCAAAGTCTCAAAGTTTGACCGGCTAATGTACGCAAAAAAGAAAGAGGTGTTTTATCAAGCGAGAATTGGATATATGGAATGGGATTGTGATCTATATCAAGGCAGTGGTATATTAAAAATTAATACGGAGTAAATAAATAAAATAGAAAAACTAACCCTACAAGCGATAATTGCTGCAGTCTGTAGGGCCAGGGACAAATTTCTGTAACTAACTGGTTCAGGGGTGGTAGTACATTTGGAAAATTAAATTTGGCGTCATTTCAATACAGCCTAGGCCAGTTGGCTGTTATGGCTGTGAAGCCTAGAGGGGCCCATGTGCATAATATTGGGTGCAAGGACAGCAAGACAATGGAAAAAGAAATACGGAGCTAAACCCCAGCCGTTAGTACTCCATAAAGTTCACCAGCTAACTAACTAGTTAACGGTCAAAGAGACTCTTTCTCAAGCGAGCCCGGAAAGCATGAGAAAGTACGGAGTACTCGGTGTTGTTAGTCGACGCTGAGAACAAACGGTTATAAGAATCATGGCCAGAGATTTTTGGAACAACACTAGATACGGGAGTATATATATAGTGGTTGATGATCTGCTGTCACTCGTTGTATGGACGATTACTCTATCTTCCCATATCAAACGATGTGGGAGGGTAACACCGTCTGTGGGAGGTCAAGGCCGTAAATAAACTTCGATTCAGCGAGCCAAACTTCCGGGATCCACTCACGGCCCGGCCCCGCGAGAAGTTTAAACCAATCGATTGTCTCGACTTGCTTCGCCTGTTGATTCCAGGACCAGTCCGTCGAAAGGCAACTGGAGGCGCTCTATATAAAGAGCAAGACTTGTGCTTTCTGTCATGCCAGTGTCATATGATGGATTTGGCGGGTCAGATAACCCTCACGTGATAAGGCGCTCTCTCCTGAATTCCTCGAAGAGAATTCAGTGACTCGGCTCATCTCCACTCTAAGCCCTCGACACCCTCAGCATCGCGGGCCGTCCCAACCAGGAATACAAGACTACTTCCCAGTTACAGCCAGGAATACAAGGAGGGTGTTAAGGACTTATGATAGAGGCCTTCATGCGATTCGCTTCTAAGTTCTAGCAACGAAGAACCTTAGCCACCTGTGTTACATTTCCCGATGAACGATCGTTAACACGGGAAGGGGGATCCGGTAAATAAGGCATTATCAGTCGCCTCAGATGCAACCACCTATGGCTTCTGGTTAGCAAACGACGGTAGCGGTTGCGGAATGCCCAAAAAACAAGGGACTTAGCGACGATCCTGTTACACGGAGCGAATTTGACCAGGAAGAATAGATACTGGCGCTCTGGGTTGTGCGAAACATATCCCGTTCTATCAGGTATCAAGCTATCCGCACTAGTAAGTACAAGCCTGAGGTCTCTTCGAAGTTTGGAAATGGCTAACATGATTAGCTAGAAGATACCATGGGAGTAAAGCATGATTCTTAGTAACCTTTGGGTCGCAGAATAACACCCAAGCTCCCGCGATGAGATGACGCCACCATACGTATCCAGAAAATACGAGCATTCGATACAGATTTCAACCTCTGGTGCAAGGTACCCAATGACTGATGGCTGTTGCTAATGGGGACGGCCAATGTAGGCACACCCAAGCTCTCCCAGAACACTGGTTTCTTCTACATCCACGAATGAACGAATAAACGCCATTGTTCAGACGGCGCATTAGCGAGGAGCATAGTGTGATGAGTTAATGGGCCAATACATCACCCCCGGAACTTGCAAGGCCAGGCGGACAGTGATATAGATGAACTCGATCCAACTTATAACTTAGAGGAATGAGGATTAACAAGGCTGGGGGCTGTGGCCGACAGAACTTTACAGGCAAACAATCTCTCAGGTCTCCAATGGCCACCCTTTCTATCACGCCATATCCTGTGAAAACCTGGATTGATTCCTCGCCTTTTAATACCCCCCACTCCTAGTTAACAATTACGCCAAAATGAAGGGGCCCAGAGCATGTCAGAGAATGTAGGAGCACGACTTGCGGACACAGATAAAAGGTTTTCTGCAACGTGGAATCTTTTGATACTCCGCGATGGGACGGGATAGCTTAGTTAGAGCTGTCCCAGTGGCCACAGAATACCTTCGAGCTCACATAAATATCAGCGAAGTTATTAGCATGGTATACCAATTATCTTAATAATAGGATTCGAAAATGTTGAGTCTAGGGTTGACTGCCATCTTGATAGCCTCTCATGTTGCTAGAGCCTTGTAAGGGGAAATTGCTTGGGTTGCTATATATGCGGATATGTGTGGGTGGAGGTCACACGAGTTAGCCGATGTGGACAACAGGAACCAAGGTCCCAACTCAATAACTATCGAGAACGATGAGTGTCCAACTAATCTATTCTTGAAGACTTACTGCGTATCTTGTATTACATCACATACTCTATAGAAGAGCTGGAAGGGAAGCTAGGGTTTACTTGGGAGTCTCCAGGAAGATGCTTCCTACCTTGGTATCGGCTTTCATCAAGTTTCAGTGTGGAAGTTCATGTGTATGCTGTTTTCGAGATAAAACCTAGTATTCCGTAGATCCCATAGATTACATTAAGCCATCCTCTACTGTCCATTTATCGGCTAATTCTCTTTCTTAACAAGATCTTAAGGATTACTGGGTATTTGAGAGCGACAGAGGGGAGAAGTGGCTGGGTAGCTTAGGTCTTCAACGCAAGAGCTAAGTAGGGAAAAGACGGGAAGATTGCCTGAATCTTGAGTCGAGTCAACTCGCGCCGTGTTCTGAACCCTTCGTCGACGTTGTTTTCCTTTCTTTCGCTCTCGCTGCTGGACGTTGATGTTGATGTTGATGTTTTTCGTTTCTGGAAAATGGAAACACGTGACCACCCCTCCGCGGGCGACTCAGCCTTTTCGACTTCGGCTGCGCAACTTCAGGTTCAAAAACCAACAACTCCTGCGGTGACATCCAACATTGCACGTCTCGATGTGAGGGCCAGCAGTTTGCTGTGGACTGTTATTTTTGGACAAGGAGCTCGCCAATAAAAGTCGAAGCCAAGCAGTTATACTGTTAGATACGCTCCAATACCCCTGCGCTATTATATCATGCGGATCATAACTGACCTGCTATTAACTAGATGGCCGTTTGTGCTTTGTCTACTTTTATACCCACAAATTAGCAAAACAGACCCTTCATCATTGCTGCGTTTGTTCTTTTCCCATAACTCGGGCGGGCAAATGATGTGATATGAAGGCGTTTCCCACGTCGAAAGTAGCTCCCTGCCTATAGGGCTAGGAGAAAGGGGTTGTTAGCACCTAGCTACCTAGGGTACAGACAGAGTTAACAATTAACTAAGCTTATCTGCACCCTCTGAGAGGATAGAAGACTTATATGCCTGGAGATGCCGGCTAGGTCGCCCTGGCATGGACCAGGGAGCTTAACTGGGCAGTGCCAGCTATTGTTATTTAGAGCAGCTCCCATCCTCGGAGCTGTTCAATTTTAGTTTGTTATTTTCACAGCTGAAATCTCTTTTTCTTCTAGCCATTATTCTTCATTTACAAGAAACAAGGAAATAATACCAATTTTTTTGGGCCGGAAAGGAGTGCGAGAGAATCAAGCAGGCGGTGCTGACTGGATCTGCATTTATTTCCGAAATAAGATGGCCCCTCGACATCGCTCTAATGGCTCAAGTTGTGATTCACACGCCTTCGAGTCCTAGAATCGATCATAGAGTTAACATTCATTGCTATATTTTCCATCCTTGGCCTAGTTCTAGTTTATATCTATGGTCTCCGGCGAAAACGGGCCCATAGAAATGATCATGATCACGCAAAGGAGGGGGTGCTTTAGACAGTTCTGGCATTGTCTTTTGGAGCTGAACTAATGTAAGTCAATCCATGATTATTGTTGCTGACACTATCACTGACTTAGCTACGACAGAGTGCACACGCTGGACCTTGTGCATACAGTTTACGGCGAATGTTCATTAATGACGATAACGGACTTACGTTCCATCTTCACGATCGGAATACTTAGCACCTGTCTTGATTATCTCTCCGGATTTCTACTACTTACCGCCACGCTGCTTCCAATAACTCGGTTGATGTATGAGTGTGCCGGCGGGATAGTACCACGTGGTTCCTCCATAAGCCATAAAATTCTTATTGTGCTTATAGGACCTGACTTGATTGCCTGTATTGCGTTATTGATATGGCTTATCACTGACACCAATGTGGACATCGATGGGGCCAATCGATTCTTCAGCGGGATTTATTCGGGCCTTACAGGGATCTTCATCATCTTATATGCTGTGCTAGGACCTATTGGATCATTAATGGGTTTTATCAACCATATAATTGCGATTAGGAAGGCGCCCCAGCTTCGCAGGAGCGGTGTAAGTGAGCATCCGGAACCTTTACCCTGCTTTCCACTTTCCATGGTCCACTTGACTTTTATTAATTCATTTTCTAGAAACTACGGACACTTGCACACCTTCTTACGATAGCTCAACTCGCGAAGTACGTCGTTCACATTGTCGTGTTATGGGTCAACGATGGTATTGTGGGATATATCCTAGAAAGGACATTTCTACTAGTGGCAATTGCCACTGCACTGTACTATGTGCCAAGTGCAGCATTGGCAGCTGCTAATAATGCCGAACCACCACGGTATGAGCAGGGGGCTGAGCCACCTGTGTACAGTACACAGTACGCTCCCTTGAACACATTCCCTCGCGATGAGGCGCAATATTCCCAGAGCAATGCGAACATGACAGAAACGTATGACGTGCCACCGATACCTCCTGTGGAAAAACCACAAGAACTGCCAGTAGGGTATACCGAAGTACCACAGCAACTAGACTGTCCACCGCAGCCATGATTGCCGTCATCTGGAAACCATGGCCACCCCGTGGAACTTCCGCATCAGACCAACCAGTCCTCATGAGCGTCAACCCGGCAAGATCCAGGTTACGTCACTTTTTACGTCTTCTTAATATACTCAATGTGTCTGCATGTATGATAATTAAATGAATCGATTAATACTAGACGGCCAACCGCAATCAACCGGAGGAGCAGCAACCTATATGAACGAGAGGCGGAGACCTATACTTTTCTCTTCGAGCCTTATAAGCTGGGAGGGGCCACGGTTTATACCTTTACCATCCGTTCATACCCGGGAGATGCCTTGGGCTGCAATGTTTCGGGTTATCGCCCGTCAACAGTTTACTTTAATCACAATTATATTTGGCTCATACTCCCTCTACATTGATAGTATTTGCCAAGGTCGGACTCGAACTGTCTACCGCCCTCAATAATTCGCGCGCATTCATCGGTCCAGGTATGAAAGGCAGAAGCATCCCTGTCGTCAAATATTCAAAGGGAAAATTACTTCAAAGGGGAAATTACAAAATATCACCGCCTGCGTATGGACGAACCCTGGCGGACCTTCCAGCCCAAGAAGTCAGGTAACTATCTACTCGCTCACTGAATACTACTTCTGGCCACAGGCAGGTGAATTAATTGAAATCCGTGCGTTTCTTCATCCTCTTTAGCTTGCACAACTCACGCAGTATTTACATCTAAGAGAGAGCGAATAGAACTATATTCCATGCCATAGAACATGAACCCCCCTGAGCAAATACAAGAGTTGTTAGTGCTTATTAATTATTGAGCCATATTTAGCTTATTCTCTATATTAAGACTAGTGGGAGATTTCTAACCAATGGAAATCTTCAAATAAAAATTTATATCACGTGATTCATTTTCAGTAATGATGACTAATATCACTCGTGCGGATCCCCTAAAAGTGTTAATTCGGGTCTCCAAAGTGACAAAACGACCAACTGTCAACAACCGCATCTTGAAACCAACCCACACAACACGTAGGATACAATATCCTCAACGCCAGTTCACGACGGTCGCCGCGATGTTGACAGTGGTGGTGACGACGGTATGGCAGCGCTGACTGCTCGGTAAGCAAGGCCGCCAGAAAAGAAAGGAGGATAACCTTCTGGCGCCTTGTTTTACATAACGTTGTACCTCGTCGATACGCACTAGCCAACTAACTAGTTATAAATATCCCTGGCTGAGCAGCCACCGCAAGGGCGGGCTCCGATCCAATCGATACTAAACGTGCTCCTGCGACTTGCTCAGTCTCTTCCGTGTTTTTCTTTTGCTCCAGAGATATCCCAACTCACGCAGTTGCCGCTCGATAAGCCTGGTACCTGCTTCTAGCACCTTGGATATATGGGAGCTGCTGGTACTCTGTACCGCAAAGCCTGTCACTACTATGATGCAGATGCGTAGTAGTGTGGGACTCCTGGCTCCTTTGCGTGCGAACCCTCATGGATACCCTTTCAGTTTTCTATGGCAGCATGGCTAGTGTTCGTACGTACGAAAACGAGGGAGGCTACAAGAGACAGAGGTTATTGACGCCTCACCCAGCTTACAGAAGCGCTCCTTTAAGCAGCTGAATACTTTTAGCTAAGCTGACTTGCCAATAATTCTGTCATTTGACGGAGTATCTTCGTTTTCTCTGGCTGCCTGTCTGTGGAGTCGAGTGAGGCTCTGTGGTGGCCATCGAGCGCTCCCCAAGAACAGCACCCAGCAAACAACACGCCAGGCACATTTTTCTTCTCCCCTTAAGCATTCGTTATTACTTCTTCTTGTTGATCAACCGTTTTTTCCCCGTCGTATTACTTGCATGAGCGTTGGCTGGACGTTTGCTTTTTGGCTTGACCTCTTCGTGACACAAGCCTAGTACCGGCGTGCATTTTAGGCGTGTCCTTTTCACATTTCACCCTGATATATAATCATTTTTCACACATACCTGATTTAAATGGCCATCCTCTGAGTGGATTGTGGATCCTTGCCCAACCTCTTACAATACTGACCTACTTACATAGAGGTTATATACCCACAGTCCGGCCGATTAGGGAGTACGAGTATCGTCATCATGAGCTTTGGATGGTCTGCTGGGGACATCTACCAGCTTATTGTAGCCTGCCACACACTGGTATCAAATTGTACTCTGGGGCCAACGTCTGCTCTCCAAATAGTGCATGGTCTGGCTGTGGAGATCCAGGAACTCGAACGCCTACTGCAGCAGCTTCAGAACCTCGTTCAAGATGGCGGCGAGACTTCCTGCATCGATCTGCGCGGAATCGAGGATACGCTGCGTGACTGTCGCACCCATATGCAAAAGTACAACAACCTGCAGCAGGCTTATGAAAACCATCATAGAAACACAGACCCCGCCGTAGCGGGAGAGAGACGGCCGTCTATCACTTCAACCACTGGGGGACGTACTAGAGAAATTCTTATCTCAAGCAGGAACGCAGCCAGAGTAGGCGGGGAACTGGTCAGACATGCTACCTGGGGAAGTGGCCAGATATCTGCTCTCCAAGACCGGGTCTCGCGGCATAAGCAGTCTCTGACACTATACCTTACAGTGCTGGAACGGTACGCTTCAACCTCACACATTACCTAATGATATATGTACTGACAACTTGCGTATAGAGAACGAAGCATCCGCATGGGTAAAAGGCTACAAAGTGTTGAGCGCATGATCCATGAGCTTCATGCCGAAGCTATGCCTTTGACTCGCACCCACCCCCTCCAACGTGTTGGTTCTATTCCTAGCTCAGGTTTGGGCACTTCGGACGGTTCTTCTGCAGACGGTGACCGTTATCATATCATGCTAGAAGCTGTTGAGCGTCAGCGTGAATACGCCATGCTCCAACGGGCTCTCGCTGAAACTGGCAATGACCAGGAATGGGAGACCATTTGTGACCAGCTTGATCGGTTCCATAGACGGGTCTTGAATGTCATTGAACGCAAGACGAACTCTAGTGCTCAGCACGGTTGCAGGAGCGAGCATGAATTCCAGAGCGAAAATAACATCGAACTAAATAGGACGCTGCTGAACATGTCAAGAGGCTCACTCAGGTCCCCTTCGAATGAAAATCAATCGTACCGTCGCAGACGCCACGCAGCGTTTGAGACCCCACTAGAGCGAATCTCGGATGAAATTGAGACGGAAACCGATCACCAGTCTTCCCACATATCGGTTAGTGGCACCGAGGAAGTAGCAGACGGACCGGGGAGTCCGATTCACCGTACTTTATCGACAGTTACTTTACCATCCTATACACCATCAGTGTTCTCCAATTTCACATCAACAAGCACTACTGCCACTGAGGATACTTCTGTTACAGCTAACAATTCTGCACATATGGAAATACCCAATAGTCATAATAAACCTTCATATATGGCTTCCCCAACACAACCTCTCTCTGCCAGTCCATCAACCGTTAACTCCCTTTCTATCCCACTATCAACAAGTCCAGGGTCAATTCATTCATATTCAACACCAATTAGCCCGGGCTTTGCTCCAAGACAGAGTCATTCAAATGCCCGTGATTCCATATCTAGCTACGCTAGTACAGCACCGAGTATTGTCAGCATAGAGAACGGGGATGTTCCATTGCGCAGTAGGGGTTACAGCAATGGAAATGGCAGTTCTTTCCCTCCTTCGCCAGGCATGGTGTCGAGACGGGACACAGATGATTCAGGCCATCATTTGAGCTGTGGTTGGAAGACTATCCCTATTAATGGTAATGTAAGGGTGTAAGTAATCTTCTAATAGATGTATTCAGGTCATTCCTTTTGGATGCAAATGCTAACTAATATACAGTTCATGGCGCGGTCATTCGACATCAGTTCGATGCGTTCTCTCTGCGGGTTACAAGAGCGACGGGAGAATGTGTGCAATTCGCGCAATGGATCCCACAAATCCAGCCGAAAAGTTGCCTATCCTCAGGTGTAAGACTCGCTAGTTTCTTATCGACAAGCAAACGTTCTAATACTGCAATAGTGTCCTCGGCTGAAAGGCGAACGATTCCCCATATCGAACCACCTGGCGACCGCGATAGAAGCCATGAAGCAGGAGTTATATACTTCATAAAGGCGCCCAAAACAAAATATGGCGAGCATCCAAAGTACTACATTGAAGATCCAGATGGTAGGCTTTGTTTTTCCTCTAATTTTCTCCCCTCCATGTATCTCATTCGACCAAAGACCAAAGGCCAAAGGGACTGACAAGGCTGTGGCGTAGATCTCATCTATCTACAAAGCTTAATCTTTGGGAAAAATCTACTTCTCTCGATGCTGGTGCAGAAGATATCCAGTGCGAATGGAAGAGAATCAGATCGCCAGTATCTACGAATATGGGAAGAGACGGACGGTGAAGGGCATGACGGAGATATATCGATTCTGTATTTTGCCTCTGCAAGGGAACGGCCTCGGTATATTGAAGTTCATCGTGAGTTTGCCAACCGCCAGTTTGTGGACTCTACTCACAATATCTTAGGGAATAATATCGACCCCGGTTTTAGAAGAAGCCATCGCAACTTGGTTCTTGAACTCCAGATCCTGCAATCAGGCCAGCATCTACGAATCACTTTTTTGTCTGCGTTAGGTTGGTCTCCTGCATCCTTCAGCGCTCAAGGCATCCATGTTACATGGCCCCAAAGTTCTCTCTTTTCTCATGTCCCTTCCTCGTTATCGTCCGCCTTCATTGACCCTGATTCTTGCTTACATAGACCTGCAACTCTTTACCGAGACACTCTTTAAACACGAACGCCCCCCTGCATTGCAAGTCCCTCGTGTGCCTTCGCTGTTCGCTGATGGGTCGGCCGCCCTCCCATGGGGGACCCCCTAGCTCAGTCCCATGTCCCTTAGCTTACCCCTAGCAGCTGCCTAAACCTTAAAAGGTCAACGCCTAAGCCACCCCGATGAAGGCTGACAATATCTCGCCCCATGCCCTGGAATTCTCGCAAGCTCCTGTCCAACTGCCATTGTCCGCTCGCATGGCTCTTCGCTTCCTCCATCGTCTCTCACATGTGGCATCAGACGGAGCCTCTTCATCGCTTAACGGGCGTTCTCGCTCGCCAATCTATTTTTAAATCTTGTCTGTTCCCAGTCTATCTTAATATCTCATAGACTATGTCATGGTTATTGCCATCCATAGGCTAATCCGCTTACTCCACTGCCTTGTCAACTTTCACTTTTAATTGCAAGAGCCTTGGCTGCGTATCATGAACGTTGCCATACATGCCCTTCAGTCTGCCTGGTTGATGGCCTTTGTCTGTGGTATGTTCGAGCTCTGACTCCCGACTCCCTGCGCCTCCTCCAGAGCTTCTGAGCATTGCCATCTTGGCATACTTTGAGCCTCATGGTGTATACATAAGTCTTGAAGACAGCTCCAGGTTCGGCCAACGCGCATTGTTACCCTCTTGGGGAGCAGAACTCTCGAGTGCCCGGAGAGGATACATTTCTCGCTGCTCACACAATAAAGCCACCTACCTCTGGCTATAACTGCAGGGAGTGGGGAGTTGTTAACCATGAAGATGCCGGTTTCATTCAAGGTGAAGAACCGTACGGTTAACTTCAACTATATTCCTGTAAGTTGTGCTTCAGGCCAGCAGTTTCTCGGCAGCTCTGAACATACGAAATATAGGACCTCGACCTCCGCCGTCGCCGTGTGTTCGATGAGCTCGATGCCACTCACTTCCAGAGCCTCGTTGTGTTTGTCGCTGGAATAGGTTTCTTCACTGATGGATACGATGTAGGTTACCCCATGGTACTAAAAAGTAGCTGTTGGATGCTAAAGAATAACTGATCAGATATTCGCCGTCGGAATGATTATCCCCATGCTAGCTCACGTCTACTGGCAAGGCACCATGCCAATGCACATCGAAACCGGCATGAGAGCCGCCACTTTACTAGGCACAATTATCGGACAATTCGTCTTCGGGATACTTGCTGACCTCTACGGGAGACGAAAAATGTACGGCTTCGAGCTTCTCATCGTCACACTGTCGACTATCGGGGTTGCAATGGCGGCTGATGGTGCATCTGGTTCCATGAGCATTGTCGCATGGTTGATTGTATGGAGATTCATCATGGGTATTGGTATTGGAGGTGACTATCCGCTCTCCGCAGTGATCACCTCTGAATTTGCTCCAACTCGATCGCGGGGCCGGATGATTTCGACGGTTTTCTATATGCAGCCTTGTGGTTACCTCGCTGCAACACTGGTGGCGTTGATAGCGATCGTCGCGCATCGCGGCAGTATTCCACAGAGTATCCCCACGCGGGTTGAAGACATTGTATCCTGTATGGATAATCCAGAGTGCCGACGTGCAATGGATAGCGTGTGGAGGTGGGTGATTGGCATCGGTGCCGTACCATCTGCCATTGCTATATTCTTTAGATTCAGTATTCCTGAGTCTCCACGGTACACGATGGAAGTGCTAAATCGACCAGACGAGGCACTTGAGGATGTCAACGAGATGGGCTGGCAGCGAGTACCCCAAAAGACTATCGCTCCAGGTGATGTTGAGATGCAACTATCTCCTCCACCAGAGCAACAGTCTCAATCTCAGCAGCCACCAATGGCGGAAGGAAATAGCCTAGGGACGGAAAAACCACCAACCTTCTCTCATAGGCCTGCCTCGGCAATTTCAAATCCATCAAACCGGCCCATATCCAATGATTGGAGCCATTTTGATCCCCGTCAGCACCAACGGAGCACTTCACGAGCGACGGACGGTGCCTCACAGCGTTCACCTCGTCGTGTCTCGCGGACACGTACCGTCTCTAGCGTCCATTCCGGGGCCGGATCATCCTTATCCTTTTCTACATCCAATGATGATGAACCAGCAGATAGTACATTGGTAGAAGATGATTTCTCACCTCCTACCAAAGAAGCTAGCCAATGGGCTCGCTTCCGTACTGGCTTTTACAATCACTTCATCACCAACGGCCACTGGCCCACTCTCCTTGGCACATCACTTGCATGGGCCTGCTTCGATTTCGCATTTTATGCTCTAGGCCCCAACTCTTATAAAGTGGTTGGCAAGATATTCAACGAAAGTGTGCTATGCTTCCCCAGTGTTGTCGAGCATGGAGGCCGGATGCCGACACCTTGCCTTCTTCCTAACCGCAGTTTATACGAAGATGTCCTCCAGAATGCATGGCACTCGCTCATCATCGTTTCTGCTGGCTCAATAACAGGCGGCCTGGGCATGATCAAGCTCATCAAACGCAATTCTCCTCGCACCATTCAACTCTACGGCTTCATTGTTTTGGCTGTGATCTTCGTTATCATCGGCGTCTGCTTTCAAGTTGTTAACAGGTCTACTTCTGTGCCCCTCATTGCATTCCTCTACGTCCTTTCTCAGATTTTCTTCGAGATTGGCCCTAATGTCACTACCTTTATGATTCCAGCCGAGTTGTTCCCAACTCGATTCCGCTGCACCGCCCACGGCATCTCCGCGATGACTGGGAAGATTGCATCTGTCTTGGTACAGGTATTTGTTGCTTATGCGCCAATTGGCCCCTACAAGCCATCTGACAACAACCCTTCCGACCCCAACTCCACAGATACCAAAGCTCAATGGCTAGGGTACGTGGTTATCATATTTGCTGCCTTTATGGTGCTTGGAGCCGCGGTTACGAAGTGGCTTATCCCTGAAGCAAGACAGGCTGATGGTCTCGCAAGACCACTGGAAGAGTTGCAATATCTTGCTAAGATACGGAGACCAGCAAAGAAGAAGGCTGCTGCGCCTGAGCCTGTGAATGGCCAAGGAGCCTCTGTGCCTGAAATCGGGCCAAACGGCGTGCTTACCGGAGAAGGTAATGCGAATATGAATGCGTAAGGTTATCAGGTAAATAAATAGATAGATCTATGATATCATGTATATGTAATGGGATGGGCTGGTAATTAGGGTACTTTGGCAAATATCTATATATGTGAGTTGTGAGGTATACGACACGAATAATTGATGATATGAATTTAATTTAAATCTGATAACAGAAGACATAACACAGCATAAAGACATAGCAGGTCAGAAAACCATCAGGCCAATGCCAACACCCATACCCATGTAGCTATATTATCCCTATCCCCATACCGTGATGACCCAACATGCATCGTAATGAGACGTAACAAAGACTAAGGGAAGACGGTATATATATATACACAAGGGCTTCGTAAACCAACAAGAGTCCGAAACAGAAGGAAGGAGAAGATAAGAGTTATAACGAAGATGACTCGGAAAAGTTTAATTCCTGCGATTCAAGCATTGTTAGTATTTGAACACGTTTCATATACGTAGCAGGTGATAAGACTCACATAAAAGAAATCATCATCTCCCCCTTGACCTTTGCCTTCAAGATTGACGCAAGCTCAACATCCAGATCCACTTGAATTTTCACTTGCCTTGACTTCGAGTCTTTGATGTTGGACGCATCAGGCGTAGGGGTATCGGTGTTGCTGTTGACTCCGTTAAAAACTTGCTTGAGGGTGTGGAGTATTCCAATTGGTTCAGCTGGTGCAGGCCCGTTAGTACTGCCGTTGGAGCCAGCTGCAGTTGATGCCGCAGGCTGAGTTTCTTTTCCGGTAGTTCCGTCCACTTGAGCACCATCAAGCATGCTCGGGGCCTCCTGCTCCTGAGCAGCGTGTTTGTCTGCCTTGACTTTCTTTTTTTTTGCAGTTTTCTTTGGCATTGTCGGTTGACCTACAGACGTTGTTCCGTCTTCAACTGGGTCTTCACCATTCACACTAGCACCGACATTACCGGCCTTCGAGCTGAGCGGCTCGGAGTTACCTATTTGAGCTGCAGGTTCATCTGCTACCTTTGCTTTCACAGCCTTCTTCTTTGGCTTTATCTTTTTAGGTTTGGTCTCTTCTCGAGGGGGTGATTCGCCTCTATGATACCAGCCTGTTTGTGTGCCGTTACCCCATCCGTCATCCACAAATCCATCATCTTGAGTCGGTGGAGATGGCCAAATATCTTGGAGCGGTGTGGTTGAGGGAGCACTCTTGGTTTTCTTCCGATCCTTGGATTTTGCCTTGGGTTTGGTGGGTGCGTCGGAGCCTGGCATCGGGGCGTCCTGCTCAACGGTGGCATTAGGGTCAACATTCTCAATATCAAGCTGTATCGTATCCTTGTCAGCAGGCACTGAAGTCGAAACGCCGCCGTTATCGTTCAATTCGCTATCGACTGCGGCTTGTGCCAGTTTCTTTGCTGCCTTCTTTTCCTTCCAGTAGCTGGCGCGGCCCTTCTTCTTCTTCGCTGCATTTGGCGATGATGCGGTATTGGATGACGCAGCCTGGTACTCCCGGTCTTGAATTGCGCTCCAGCTATTGTCCTGCTGAGAATCCATCTCCTCCTGGTGTGTTTTGACTCCGCCGTTGGTATCGAAGGTCGACGACTCGTGCGTACCGCCGTCCACAGAGTTCACAGTCATAGCTCCCACTGTTCTGTTCGAGGCGGCCAGGAAGCGGCTTATATGCTCTAAATGTCCGTAACACTCTCCACGTTGCCTCTCTGTTTCTCTCACTGCCGCGATGCGACTTAGCTGTTGTTGCTTTCTCGATTGCTTCGTCTTTTTTTTTCTCTTGTTTATTTTTTCTTTTCTATCCAAAAATTTTGTTTTGATGACATAAGCTCGGAACAAGTGGGTCTGGTGGAGCCTTCCCCGTTTGAGCCTAAAATTAGGGCTTAAGGAAGGGAAGGCATAAGGAAAGCAGTTGAGAGCGACGAGAAGCCGGCAAAGGAACGGAGGGCAAACGTAACGGAGGATGGAAATGAACGCGGTATAATGGCTGTTTACAGGTCAGGTAAACAAACATCACGTGAACGCCTTATGTCTGGTTCCGGGCAGTAAGAGAAAAGCAGCTATCAGATAATATGGTCCAGTAGATGGGGGAATAACTGTGATATCTGGTATCTTTGACCTAGCCTCTAGGAGGACTAGACATATATTATAGCTTGAGGCCAGGAGGAGTCAGTCGGTTCTAGGGAGACTTCAAGGGGCGTATGAGACTATTTTTAGAAGCGTCGATCCGTCATCAAGGCACCAGTCCGGGGTATAACATTTTGGTTTGTCTGTTCCATGGTTGAGTATATGGAAGAGAACCATGAGAAATTAGGTAGCCAGCGGCTATCCCGTATATCCCTGAGAGACCAGGAATTTCTTTAAAGACCTCAGGATATTTTCTTTCCTTCGCGAGCTTTGACAACGGGAAAGTCGAGAGAGTCTAGGGGGAGCTTAAGGAAGAGATGCTTGTTCGTCCATGCCACTTGTCCTTCAGCGAAGCCTTCAGAGTAGGCTGGCGGTGGCGGCGGATCAGTGATCTTGGTGACCAGGTATGCCGTTGACGCCTCTGCAATGCCATAGAGCAAGACTCCCAACACGGGGATGCGAATCATAAGGTAGAACCCAACTGCAAATCCAAACAGCACTCCATCTCTGTCGAGGAACCACCGTCGTTTCTGATCAGCAGTGAATTTGACTCGGCTGAAATACGGCTCAAGCTAGGTAGAGTTGTTAGCATATAGTCACTGACGGTGCAAGAATGTCTATACACTCAAGGCTTACCAACTCTCTCATCAAGCTGCGAGAGGCAAAGTAACTCTGCAGAAAGACAATCAGATACTTTTTATGTAGTACCAGACCGGTTCCAAAGACCACAGCCGCTGGTCCTAGACCAACAGCCTTGTTGAAGGTATAGAAACTTGCACATGGAAGAACGAAGCGGCCGACTAAGGGGAGGTGTGAGAGAATGTAGACTGCCAGCGCCATGCCGGTTCGTTTTCCGTAGCGAATGGCAAAGGCCTTGAGAGGCGCAAGGCTCGATTTTTTACCATGAGACATGCCGCCTTTGGAGTACATCCGCAGGTTATCATAGTACATTGGCCGGAGTGTCGTCGGGTCATCGTCCTTGTGCTTCTGCGTATAGGTTATATCAACCCAACGTAGGGACTCCATGAACCTGTTAAAGGAAATGTAAGTCAACTCCGTCTAGTGACCATACCAAGGAACAGGCTTATGCATACATATTGTCCAGGGTTGGCGTGATATACCGCATCAGGGTCATGAGGAAAAATGGCACCTGAAGGACATAGTTGGACACGAAGTCCAGTGTCCCGACCACTTTATCATCCCACACAGCACTCTCGAGGTCCATAACCCAGGAGAGAAGCCATATCACCAGCTTGACAGCAACGATCTGGCAGTCATCTTGTTGTTAGCCATGGCCGGAGAACGAGAGCGGGCAGGTTCCTGCGTACCGGGATCGCAACGACGAGGTGGATGGCTATCCCACTGCAGACAGCGAGGGCAGCCTGTTTGTAATGCTCCGACTTGAAGAGCCCCGGGTTCTGCAACGCCCTGTGTGCTGTATTACCATGCAGTCAGCGAGTCTGGTGGTGACATCAACTGTTCCATCCAGGCTGGAGAGGCCTACCGCCCACGAGCGTCAGCTGCGCGCCCCGGAGGATGGCATTGGGTTCGAACTTGGGCATCTCGATGGCCTGTATATGCGTATCTGCCGCCGTCAAGCGTCCTCCGTCGAGTGTTGATCGCAGTTATCGATGTTGTTGGCGTTTTGGTGGCTGATGGTGCCTCTACGTCACACTAACTAGTGAGTTAGTTGGTGGACTAGTTACCAGTTAGTTGGTTAACTATCTATGAGGTCAAAGTCAAGCAGCACAACTTGAAACATCCACAACTCCTCTTCACATGCGCGCGATGTAAGAGCGAGGACCTTGGATTTGTTTACCTTCATCTACTTCGACTTACGCTCCTTTGGTTTCTTTTCTCGCTCTTTTCGTCCGTCTTTCGTTGGCTGTCGCTCGCTCTCTCCCTCCGCCATGGCCGAATCGCCATTCCCCCTGCGCCGCTCCTCGACCATCCCCCGAACCAGAGCCGTCTCGACGGGCAGATATAGCCTGGGAGCGCATGAGCTCTCGCCCAGCGGCCCCTCTCCCTCAGACGAGATCCTCTACTCCAGCCCCTCTGCGAAGATATTCAAGTTCGAGCTGCCAAACTCCTCTTCGTCCTCCCCTATCCTCCCCGACCTCGACTACCCTGTGGACGCCATAGAAACGCTCCCGTGGGAGCTGCCAACAGAGAGACTGGCCTCCATCGGCCCACTGAAGATAGAGACCGTTGCGGGCTCGGCTACATTTCTGAAATCCGGCAGCGTGGTGTACCCTTTACTCAAGAACAGCCAGTGCTGGTGTGTGGACCAGGTCTCTAGATTCGTCTTCAGGATACGGAAACTCACCTATTATCGCGTCGAACTCCCCGGAGAGACGGAGGAGGATAAGAGCCGGGTCGAGAGCTTCAAAGAGGTCCTATCCGGAATTATCAGATATGAAATCACCCCTTGTCCCTTTAAACGTGGGTTCTCCGTGGCCCTGCCGGAGGAAGCAAAAACACCCAAGAAGAAGAAAGCATGGCAGCCGAAATTACAGTCCATGCCTCCTTTTATACCGCTGAATCTCCCTACTGATGTGCCTTTGGTTGCCCCGTGTGATCTGGAATCAAATGGCGGGCCCGTACTTGATGTGCGCAAAGCCACTTCTCGGGAGCAGGAGCAGGACCAGGATACGGAGAACGACCCGTCTGTGGCCACTGATGGAGAAGACTTTCTGCTTGTATCGGATAATATGCAGTCGGATAGTTCTGCAGTGACTCCGCCTCCGCAGACATTCCAGTCCTTGGTGGCCAAATTCCAGCAGTTCCAAGATGCAAGCCCCACGGAGGAAAAGGAACACCAGGAGTATATGGACGACAGCGAGCGGATGTCTGACTTAGGATCTTACCATACATGTGAAATGGATGATTCCTTTTCCCCCTCTGACACCCAATACTCGGGCCCTCCGTCTCCATGGAATGAAGGGACTACTGCTGCACCTTCTTTGGCGCATGGCGAAGATACTTCAGACCGATCTCCGTCTATTCCAGACTCTGACCCTTTTATTGATTCAGATAACAATAATATGAGCCGAATATCAAGAGAATTTCTGTCTACAGATCTACATTCAACTCCTACGCAACCTAGCTTTGACAGACACGGATCAATCTACCTTTCATCCGAAGAAGGTGTTGGCGTTGACGAACCCAGCCCTGATCTCCGCCAACGCCTTCGTAGCAACCGGAAGCGTGATCTATCACCGCTCCCACCGCCTTCTACTCTATACTATCCCTCTGCGCGGTCTCCCGCCAACCATCTCACTCACACAATCATGAAGAAGACATGCACCTATGTCCTCGGCCCACCAGTCCAGTTCCTCATGCTACTTCTACGTCTTGCTGCAAAGGTGGCTGCTACCAGACCATCTCCTACTTCCCCTGACTCACCGGACACATACTCTGACCAGGATGACATCGGTGATCTAAGTGAAGACGATTTTGGCATACCAATCCCCTATAGCTCCTCACTTAAGCGGGTGAACTCGAATTCACTAAGCGTCTACGATTCCTTGGACGAGGCAGATTAGACCTCATTTCATTCTGTTTTGTTTAGGCTGTACTTGTACCTCTTGTGTCCTACTTTTAATTTCTTTCGCTCTTTCTTTCGGTCCATCTAGCATGTTGTGTGAGCGGTAATGACGGTTTGGGGTTCCAGGCACCATATGCAACATCTACTTGCATTAATGACATTTTCTTTGGCATTCATCGGGAGGTGGTTTACTTTTTTTTTCTTGGCCATAGCTGTACGGGGGTCTTACTGGACGTATAAGATGTCCCACTCGTTCGCATTTCTTTTACTGCAGCATTCTTGGTATACCAGCCATCATTGAATACCGTTTCATTTGTTGAAACTGATCCGTCGTTTCCCGTATTTCTCTATGTCCCAGTACGCAGTAAGAGACCCCATCTAACGCCAAAAAATGCATACATATCCCAAGAGCAAAAAGCCCTTCCTCAACTCAACAAGACATATCACCAGCACGAGGCCGTCCTTTAACTAAGCTCTCTACTCCTATTTCTTTCCCTTAGCCTTGCCTTTCTTCTTTGCGCTGCGGTCCCTCTTCTTCAAGCCCACCATGCCGGCCTTGCATATCTCTGCATACCGGCGATAAAATGCTTCTATCTCTTCTGGTTTCACGACCGTGGAAGCCTTAACTTTCGAATCTTTGTGTCTTCCATTTGATGCCCGAATTAGGATCATTGGCGGATTCGACTCTGTAGGTTGTGATTCATCTTTACTCGTAGTTCCTGACTGGAGACGTTTCTGTGTAAGGAACACCGAGCCGCGGGACGAGGCCGACTGCTTGGCGAGGAGGGACTCGAGAAAGGAGAAGAACTATAGCCGATACGCCATTAGCTATCTGGGCCATCTAAAGCACCCTGTGTATCGTGGGGTATATTTCGTCCTGTATCCATACCTCGTCGTTAGGGAGGTGGGGTTTCGACATTGTTGTGCCGATGTGTAGCTGTCAATGGGGTTCCAGTAAACGTATCCAAGGGAAGTAGATTCTTTGCAAGGACCCAGATATATAATCAGGTCCGCAAGCATGTAATAATGACTGTAAGAAAGGCGAAATTGTCTCTTCTTGCTTGGTTGTTTCTTTTCTTTCGGTCTTTTTTTCGCAGCGTCAAAAAATGTGGACGATTTAAGGTTTAGCGGAATGGCGCTTGGACCACATCATAATTTTTGAAGAAAAGAAATAAAAAAAAAAAAAGTCGAGATGTTGAGGATTTAGGGATGAGATGACGAGGACGACGAGACCGCGATGCGTCGACCGGAGATAAATACCACACGGCTCCCAAAGCAGCTGCGCGAGGAGCTGGGACTGAAGGACAGCCGGGACAGTGGGAGATCCAACAGAGGGCGAGGGAAGCCTCTGAGCAGGAAAGAAAGACGAAAGGAAGAACGGTCACAGAAGAAACAGCATCATCAGCAGCCGCGGAAGCCGGTGCAACGACATGTACGAGGTGACCAGGACCAGGACTCTGGTACAGAAGCTTCTTCGGACGATGATGCTGGTGACAGAAAGCTACGATCGACCGTACCAGCGAAACCGGAACCCAAGTCTATTCTGAAGAAGCGGAAGCGAAGTGATAGTACAAAGAAGAACGACGATGCAGATGTTGCCCTTCCTGAGCGCAAAATCCCACGGGCTGTTCGGGAAAAGCTTGAAGAGGACGACAGGGAGATAGCTCGGCTGGAGAAGGCCTTGGGGCTGAAGGGGAAGAAGAAACTTCCGAAATCTTTTGAAGAAGATGGGCTAGCTGAGATACTGGGTGACCTGGGAGGGTACGATTCTGAGACAGACCTGAAGAGGCGCAAGCAAGACGGCGATGAATGGCTACAGAGCAAAAGGAGAAAAGCCCAGGCTCAGGCGCAGGCTGATATGAGTCTCGACGAAGACTCAGATAGTAACAGCGATGGTTTCGATTTGGACAGTGGAGACGATGAAACGGACGAAGACGATGAAAATATGCTGGATGGATTAGAGGAGGATGACGAGGGCAGCGAAGAGGGCAGCATGGACGAATTCGAAGGATTCGACGACGAACCTGAACAGCCTCCCAAACGAATAAAAGAGAACCCATATGTTGCGCCTGTAACTCCCTCCAGCAAAGACCAACCAAAGTACATTCCGCCATCGCTACGTGCGGCTGCAGCAACAGAATCTGAAGCTCTCATTCGTGTTCGTCGTCAATTGCAGGGCCAGCTCAACAAGCTATCAGAAGCCAACCTGATATCCATTCTCTCTGAGATCGAAAAGATATATCAAGATCACCCGCGCAAAAACGTCGCAACCACTCTAATAGATCTATTGCTTGCTTCAGTAGCTGATAGGAGCACCCTTAATGACACCTTCGTCATCCTCCACGCTGCCTTTATATCTGCGGTGTATAAGGTGATTGGAATGGATTTTGGAGCAGAGCTTGTGCAGCGCGTCGTGGAAAAGTTTGATGCAGTCTACGAGGATAAAAACTCCAGTGGTCATGCCTCTAAGAGCAAGATACTATCAAACCTGATGTCTTTGCTATCACATCTATATAATTTTCATGTTATTGGAAGCAGTCTAGCGTTTGATTATATTCGTCTCTTACTCACGGAGATCAATGAGTTGAACACTGAACTGCTTCTGAAAATTATCAAGAGTGAGTGATACCCTTATACTACTGCCCCTTGTCATATATTAGTACTAATTCCAGCTACAGGTTCCGGACCTCAGCTGAGGCAAGATGACCCGTCCTCACTGAAGGACATTGTGATGCTCGTCCAGCCAGCAGTAGCTCGAGTTGGCGACGCAGCATTATCAGTTCGCACGAAATTCATGATTGAAATGATCACCGATCTCAAAAATAATCGCCTAAAAACCGGCATTGCCGGTACAGCACTGGCTTCCGAGCATATCACCAAGATGCGGAAAGTTCTTGGAACCCTGAATAACAGAAACCTCCGAGCCAGCGAGCCACTCAGAATCAGCCGAGCGGATATTCATAACTCATCTAAGACAGGGAAATGGTGGCTTGTTGGTGCAAGCTGGAAGAATCCTTCAATGACTGATGACCACGGCAATGAACCCAGTGCAGGCCGTGATACAGTTATGACAGACACTTTAGATATCGATATCACCGGAGGAGCAGTTGACTTAGGTCAACTGGCCAGAGCCCATCGCATGAACACTGACGTTCGACGATCGATATTTGTCGCAATAATGTCGGCAACCGACTGTCGAGATGCATATCTCCGGCTAACCAAACTCCATTTAAAACGAAATCAAGGGACCGAAATTCCTCGCGTCTTGATTCATTGCGCAACCGAGGAGGAAGCGCATAACCCTTACTACACCTTGATAGCCCGAAAGCTATGTGGCGAGAAGAGAATGAGGATGGCGTTTATGTTCTCTCTTTGGGATATCTTTAAGAAGATGGGAGAGCGAGGCCACTTGGAGGAGGACAATGATTTCAGTGGCATTGATGCCGAAGACGAGGAAAATGCACTCAGCACAAGAGCAATATTCAACCTGGCGAAGATGTTTGCCAGTTTGATTGCAGAGGGTAGCTTGTCTTTAGGCATCCTTAAAATCCTCGATTTCCCGTACTTGCAGCCGAAAACAAAGACGTTCGTGGAGATTCTTCTGATAACAGTCATGACTCAATCCCAGCAGAAATCACATCAAAAGCACAAGAGCGAAGGCAATACCGACGATGGGTATGACGAGAAGGCTCTAGTGACTATTTTTATGAAAACCAGCGAGACGCCGCAAGTGATTGCAGGGCTCAGATATTTTATCCGCAAAGTCGTTACCAAGTCTGACGTAGTGACTTCGAAACGGGATAAGAAGTTGGTGAAATGGGCATGCAAAACTGCCCTTGATACATTGAGTATCGTCGCGGAAGGAGGTTCAACGGCTTAGAATAGATACCCCAGTTCATGTATAAAAGTTTGAAGATAATTGAGCGACTTTATATTTCTCATCTTTGGTTCAATTGAGTATATAAATCAGTCAAAGAATGGAGAGTCTTCACATCACTCCCAATGGCCCGATGGTCCGTACCGGGAAGATAGTCCATTCCATCCCGGAGTAACAAGAAGCTTTCCCATCCAGCATTAATGGCTCCTTGGTAATCATCACCATGGTCGTCTCCTATATGAATACGTCTCCAGCGACCGTCTACCTCAGACGAAGGGTCTGTTACCAACAAATGCTCTTTAGCTCTGGTTTTCGCAACGTCAAAAATATGACGATGTGGCTTTTCCTCTCCTGCCTCATAACTCGTCACTATAAAGTCAACATCGTTCAACTGAGCTTCACCCGTAGGAATGGATGATGATGCACGAGGTAGCAACTCTCCGCTGTCCGCCCATGCATTTCCAACCGACAACCCCAGCGAATTCAGGATCGGGGATACTCTGTCGTCGGAGTTGGAGACCACACCAACAATGACATTCTGTACGTCGCCCTCCCTAAGGCAGCCGGCTTTCTTCCTTTCCTGCAGCTCCTTCTTCCAGGAATTTAGACGGCCAAAGAAACTTTCCACATCTTCAAATAATGTATATCCTTCCTTGCTCTCAAATCTTCGAAGGAGATGAGCTACCAATGAGTCCGGGACTTCTTGTATGGCTCTTGTTTCCGAAACGCCCTCTAATTCGTTTTTGCCTGTGTGAACTCGTGCAAAACAACCTCTTATGACATTTGCCCACCATTCTCTAGGACCACCAAATCCTGGTGTGTTTCTCCCATAATTGGGCCTTGAAGCAGTCTCCCGTTTATATGCAACCTTGAATGCCGCCTGTACTGATTCGGGGGTGACATTTTGGGATATGAAACCTGAAGCCTTTGCAATTTCAGTGTACTGCAGCGCGACGTGTTGCCTAGGATGAAATATCGTATTGAACGCATCTAGCGTCAAAAGGAGTATCCGAGGGGGAGGACGAAGAGTTGCCGTCATTGCAATTGCAGTATGTTTGACGATGGCTTCGTAGCATTGACATAGTGAATTTCTTCTTGATATCCTGAGCCGGTGATTGGAGTTGGATGGATCGGGTTTTGCCAAGAACCTCGGCTGATGCGCAGAGCCCCATCTTTAATTGAACATCAACCGCGTTTTCGCTAGCTTGCTTGACTTGTTTCGTCTCATCAATTAGTCCGGCAGCATTTGGCGAGATGGAACCCGAGATAAATAAGCTGATTTGCCTCAGATCTGGAGAATTGGTTTAGAAAGCAATATATCATGCCATATGAATGTATGTTTGCTGTGGTGCGTTGGGAACATGGACTCCGTTGACCTCTTCTCCAGCAGACACCAGCGAGAGCGCGCCAAAAGCCGGAGGAAGTTGAATATCCTGAATACCCCAGCAGGTCTCGTCCTCCGCAACAAATATCCAGAACTCCACGATTTCGTTTGGGGCCGCCGTCATCCCAGAGCAGTGTTCAATTCGCGTCGACTCCTCGTTTCCTATTTGGGGGCAATAGTAGCCAGCCACGACGTACGGCGGTAGTTGATGAGATCGACAAGGGTGATCAGGAGGGTATTCATGGGTTGAAAAGAGCGTCCGCCACTTTTCATGGTGAAGCGATTGAGGATTCGGATTCGGAGCCGGAGCCCGTAAACAACGCCGGAAGCATTTCGTCAGGGTCTGGAGACAATCTCAGCAACCAAAAAGTGGCGAGCGGAGATGCTTGTAGTAGTGATGATGCAATGCTCCTTCCCCTTTCTCCTACCCATCCAAAAATCAAACGTCGAAGGCAGCTTTCCCGGACTCCCTCTATAGAGGGTGGTCCAGAAGCTAAGATAAGGGTTCCTCACGGCGATGATATCGTGTCTTCTTCTCTAGGGAGTTCACCTCCCGCCTTTGTGGAAGATTCCAGGGGTCCACCCTCAGAGCTAAATGAACAGGACATTCTTACACCTACTCGAAAGGAGCCGTTGCATGGGCAAGTGCCATCTAGCCATCCTCGATTTGTCGTTAACAAATGGCAAATCAATACCCCCATACCAGGAAAATTAAACTATTCTCAAGGTCCCCACCACGGGGAGCCAGGAGCCTCTGCATCTACACCACGACAGAAACCCCGTTTTGTTCTACCATCTACCCCAGAAGCGGCACATGGTAAGAAGAGAGCGGGCCCTGTGACGAGCCCAAGTCCATTTTCTCCACTCGCACGTCGCCCAAGGCGAGGTCGTGGTGGCTCTTTAGCGAAGCTGGACTTTACTCCCAATGGAATGGCGACACAAGTTCGGAACTGGATACTAGAAATTGGGGCCAGACGTCAGGCAAGTGGCCAGCCATCATCATTACCGGCTGCGCTCTTTTCTTCCGCCTATCCAATTATAAGTGATAATGACACCAGCCCAAGCCAGATTAATGTCCAGGACAAGTACTGCCTTAATACGAAAGTTAGAGGGATGAAATATTCAACTACGTGTTCTGCCCGAGGAGCCGGGCATCCAGCTCCATTTATACTCTGCAACCATGGGGAAGATAAAAAACCTTTAGCTCAAATGCTACTTTTTAACCCTCCGCTAAGAGCCCCTCCATCAACAGTATCTGCCTCTAACATCATCCAAGACGGCAGCTCCATTGGTATTAGAAAGGGCCTGGCATGGGAGATCGAGATTGATACACTCCCTACTCCTGAGCATTCCGGTGAAGATGACTCTGATATTGTCAAGAAAACCTCTCGGCGCTGCTGGGTGGGGATTGAGTGGGATATTGGAGTCTGAAGGGAAGGGAAAAAAATTTAGTACACTTTTTAATAAGCTATGCCTAGACATACCATAGGGTCGCTCAATGCCTAACCACTAGCCGTTGACTCCTGCCCTACATTATGATCAAACCCAAAGCAAATATACATACACCCATTACCCAAGGAAATTTTCATCATTCCCATTCACTTGACCTTGAACCTAACAGCCCGCTAAGACCACCTCCCATACTCATCCGTTGAGCAATCAAGCTGGAAGAGCTAGAGCTCTTCAATCCCTTCTTAAGTTGTAGTTCTCTTTCCCTTTCTCGTGCCGCAGCATAGTAATTCACTGCACCCTTTCTGCTACCCTGAACTCCAGCGGACTCCGTAACCACAACGGAAGAGCCAGAGCTGGTGGATGTTGAAGACTTTGTGGTTGCAACCGACAAACCTGAGGATGATCGTCTTTGCAGGAAGGGAGGAAGCTTGAATTCGGGCCCAGCACTATTCATGCTGGAGTGGAAAGCAAGCTTAGTTCCCGAAGCTGCATTAGATGATGCCTGACGTCGAAGTGCAAGACGGTCAACCACCTTTCCTCGTTGTCGGCGTGGCTGAGCAGCATTATTAACCGAACCTGTCCTGTCCTGTTTACCAGTCTGCGAAGCCCCTCCATCATCGATGAAATCAGCCTCTTCAATACCACCGGAATGATCAGGCTGTGCTGCTTCATCGTGTGGCATCATATTGCTTGACAGAGGAACTGCTGATGAAGCACCTAAGTTAGGACTATCAAGTACAAAGGACACGGTTTCGCGTATTTCAGCAAGAGTCAGGGGTTTCTTCATGCTTGCTTTACGAGCGAGCTTTCGGGATTTCACCGGTATTCGATTTAGTGAGTCGGCATTAGCGGCGTCAAAAGGTCGTTTTCGAGTAGCTGATTCCCCGTCCTTTTGGCTGCTATCATTGCTGTTGGTATTGCTCCCCTGCGACGCAACGTAATTGTCGGTATCTTCGCCTTCTTCCAGGAAATCGGAGTCATTATCGAAGTCCATATCCTCGATAGTTCTCATGAAAGCTGCCTTCTTCGGATCCTCAGCGATTTTACCAATCTTCTCATCTGCAAGTAGAGCCTTTCGCATTTTCATAAACTCTTTTCTCTTCGCCGCTCGACGTCGAGAGATACGTTCATCGTCCGAATCTGACAAATCCAAAGCATCGCCAACGCGTTTTCTGCGCAATGCTCCAGTAGTGATATCTTTCATGAGTTTATTCACCTGGAACTCGTCTTGCTCACGTTCGTGATGACTGTACATGTTAGCTTCCGGAATGGATTGAAAGATGGTGGCATCTTCGAATACATACGCGTTCATAGCAGCCAGTTCTTTCTCATCCACTACCTCTCCACTATTATCATTGATCATTTGTCTGTCAAACTCGTCTTCTGATCCGGAGTCATCATCACTTGCACCTCCAAGCCCTGCGTATTCATCGTCGGATTCCTCCGCAGCTTCTTCAACCATCTCTTTTGCCTTGCTCTTATCTTTTATAAACGGTTTACTTGTCCTATTTTTCATTAATTTGAAAGCATCAACGCTGGTATGGGGCTGGTCGTCATCACCAGCAACGGTCCCCTGGTGAGTGTGGCCGCGCCTAAGTCGTTTTCTTTCTTTTCTATGATCACCATCCTGGTTTGAGGCTATCACAGACCCAGCTATAGTAGACGGGGTGGGTCGGAAACGTTTCGCTTGATCAAATGGTGACATAACAAATCCATTGTCTTGAGTTGGTTCCGGGAGCTGTGAATATTCCGTATAAGTTTTAGTACTTGGGGAATCGATTGCTGGAGTATTGTGTTCTGGAAATCCGGCAAATATATCAAGGCTTCCGCTCTCCTGGCCCTGGGTTTCAGGAGCAAAACCTTGCGAGTCTGAATTGAATAGGTCAGCTACAGGAAGATCTATACCAGGCATCTTGCGTAGCTGTGCTAGAGAGTCCTCCTGGGAATCATCCTGACTATTTCCCAAGGTTGCAGCGAAGGCCTGGGATAATCCTAAAAGCGGAGTGCTTGGTTGTCCAAGATTGGGTATCTTTGGTTTGGGGGTAGCAGCCACTTGCATATCGACAGGCTTATCATCCTCGTCATCGCTAACAACGAGCTTTGCCCTATTTCTTTGCCGTAAGCTCAATTTGCTAAAATCTTGTATTTCACACTCCTCGTCTTCATCAGCCCCTAATTCGGCGCTTTCTTCAGCTTGATTATCAAGGAACTTTGTATTCTGCTCATCATCTTCGTTTTCATCACAACCATCATCACTACCCATGGCCTCCTGCTCTTCTTCCGAGTGCTCTGAATTTTCGCTCTCAGAGCCCTCTTCAGCATCCTCGACATATTCTTCCTCTTCATCACTGGCAATATCATCCACGCCTTCGCTATTTGACTTTGCAGCAGCCCGCTTGGAGGCAGCCTTTTCTTGTTTTGCAATCTGAACCGCCTCTTCTCTAGCCTTCTCGACCAAATCTTCTACCTCCTCCTCACCACGGACGCGCTCTTCGGCGGTTTGGATGATCACGCCTTTAGCCCGAAGTGCTGCAATTTTTTCCTCTCGTTGTTGTGCAGCTTGTTCCCTAGCCTTCCGAAGGAGGATGTCATCAAGGTCTCCTTGCGTCATAAGCTGCGGTTTCCGACTAGACTGCAGTTGGGCCAATGCTTTCAATGTGCGCAGTGAGTTTGATAATTTGTGAGACTTTTGCGTAGTTACGTTCTCGAAGAGTGCTAAACGGCGGGCCTTGTGTGGGGATGTAACCACCTCGAGATCTGAGTCCGAGTCGTGTCGCTGATTTTGAGCAATAGTTTCAGGAGATAATCGAACTTGTATTTTTCTCCCTGGTTTCGTCACCTTTGGGACAGTTGGAATGGCAACTTGTTTTCCTTTCAAACATTGCTGTTCACCTTTCTCTTGTTGAGGCATCTCAGACTCGTCCCGTTTAGCCAGTAAATCATCAACTGTGATTTCCATGTCCTCTTTCAGAAGGTTCTCTACGCTCGGGGTTGTTTCATTAGTAGTAGTAGCCTTGTCTCCTTGATCCTTCGGTAGTGTTTCCCTGACAGGGGACGTCGGAGACGTAGAGTGCAACGCTTCAGCATCAGATGTTTGGGCGGGGGTATCAGAACAAGAGCCGCTGTTAGAAGGAGCAGATGCAGGTTTCTTGTTAAATCTGGCCAAGAAGCTCTCAATGGTTATCTTCTTCTTGGTCGTAGCCTCGTGTGCTAATTGCATATTCCGAGCTATCCGCTGCGTCTCACGGTTCATCTCAAGCAATGCCTTCTTACTAGCTTTTCTCATGGGCCGTGGCTGTTGGGTAAGCCGCTGGACAGCTTCATCGTCTTCATCATCTTCATCTTCTCCATCTCCCTCTGTATCTAACTCCATACTTCTCTGCTCCCTCTCTTGCTCCTTTGCAAGTTTTTCCTGTTCCAGCTGCTTAAGCTTCATACGCTTCTCATTGACAAGAGATTGGAGACGGGAAACGGGAGGTGAAGCTACTGAAATGGCTGTATCACGTTGTGTCGTCTTCGCGGGGCTAGGTGACTCCATTGGAACAAACAATGGTGACGGTGATCGTGATGGGGCGTTATTTCGTAAGTGAGACGGGGAAAGAGAGTCCCTTGCTTTTGTGGTTCGTCCTTTTCTTCCAAAGGCAACGACATCATCATCCTCCGATTCTTGTCCGGAATCCAACCCAAACACTTCCTTGTTTGGTAATACATCTTTCGATCTTTCTCGTGATGTTGTTGTACTCTTGCCCTCAGGCAATGTTAATTCCTTAGAGTATGCGCTCGCCAGCATTCTGGCAGCTAGTCTTCCCCTTGGTGCAACTGGCAGTTGATCCTCCTGGTCATCTTCGCTGTCCTCATCCACCTCGCTGGCAGGACGGTCGGGATTTGGTCGTGCCAATGGCTTCGATGCAGCATTATCTGGCTCCGAATCCGAGTCGAACGCAGCAAGCATAGCTTTAATCTTTCGTCTAGGGGTCATAGTAATCGGTGAGCTGCCATGATGGCTGCCAGAGCCCTCAGTGCTCTTCTGGGTATTGCTTGGGGTGCCGGAGCGCGTCGAGCGCGGCGAGGCGGTGGCCATAACTGGAGATATGAGTGTAAACTAGTATAAAACCATGAACGACGAGTCCAATGAACAGATTCGTATTCTGTTCCAAAGTGATATTTGACTTATGAAGAAAGAGGATAAGAAGAAGAAGCTGGAGATTTGTGTTAATGCTTGATATCAGTTGATAGTCGCGCGTCTGTAGATTCGGTCCACTTTACACGTAGAGACGCGAAGAACCAATCAACGACGCGCTTCTGCTGAGTAATCCTAAAGTCAACCCCGCGGATAAATATTTATACGAATGCGGATTAGTAATCATTGCAAACCTCGCAAACAAGACAAACAAGACAAACACGATCGTATCAAGAGCAGAGACGATAGAATACCGAATGAACCGCATGCTTGTCATTAAAATATGTAGCTAAAAGTACAATAACGCTTTAAGTCGTACGGTTTGGCCATGATTCAACGTCATTCTGGGCCCTTGGGATTCCAGCGGAGCTTGGGCGCTGATGGCCGAAGGACCAACTCTGGCTCCTTTGGCTTGGGGGATTTCGGGTAACATCTGTCGAGATGAGCCTGGAGGTCTCGTTCCATGACTTCTGCGGCTCGATCACCGTAGTGGTACATGTAGAACTCTGAGTTGCTCCTGGTAATAGTCTGTGTAATCATTTTGAGAGTTTCAGCATGGAGGTTTTCCTTGTCCTCTAACCGTTTCTTCTCTGCCCCAGCTTCAGCCTCAATCTTTTGTTTCTTCGTCTGAGACTCTTCTGAAGATGCAGCGATTCTCTTCCGGGTAGCTGCTATCAGTTTTAGCCGTCTTTCCTTGGCTGCAAGATACTTCAGAGAGTGGCTCAGTCCCTGGTGACTGTTTGATACAACGTCCAGAGGTGGAACATTGAAGAAAAGAACACGTCCTTGGTCGTCTTGCTGGAACTGATCACGTATTTCCTTTGGAATTGATTGGTCCAGGCCATCACGAAGATGGAAGGTCTCTACACTGCGCGGTGCATTGGGGTTGTAAACAGGTGGTGGGATGCTCGCTTGAGGCAAGCGGCTTCCCTGGTATGAAGGGAAGTTATGTGGTGCTGAGTATGGCTGTGCAGGCTGGGGAGCATGGTATGGAGGCTGGGGTGTTTGTGGGTGAACTGGCATGTTACGGTTGTTGTGAGCGACTGGGTACATCGGCATATTTGGTCGTGCTGGGTGGTATGGGTGTGGCCCTCCTGGCATCATGGGAGGTTGGGGAGAAGCAGCAAGGTGGGCCGCATGAGGCAAACGGCCAGGAATGTGTGGAATAGAGTTATGTCGAACATGATCTTGGCCGGGCATAGGCTGCATAGGCGTATGAGACTGAACCATGGAAGGTGGCCTCGGAATTGGTAAGGCAGCAGGCGGCTGAAGCTGCGGTGGAGGTGGCGAAGGTGTTGGCTCTGGGGGAGGAGACTCCTAAAGAACGGGTCAGTAAACTCGTTACACCATGCAGGACGTGTCTTAAGCGGCTGGCTACTCACATTCTCATCGCGTGGACGGCAATGGACTGCTCCCACGATAGGCGGCGCATTCTCGGCACCCCAGGTAGGCTTTGGGAGGTCATCCGTTTCCTTTGCGTCTTCTTTGAGGAGATGTCTGATAGGACTCGGGATCTTCTTGATCTTCCGAGGGGCATCAAACAGTTCCATCTCGTAGTCCTTCTCGCGTACCTCGTCAGGCAGGCAGCTGGCCCATGTTTTGATCTTGTTGAGTTTGTGCTTTTCTTCATTGTATCTGGCTTCGCACACATAAACCTCTTTGTTAAGCGGTAGGTCCCGTGGGCGCCCACGATTGTAGCGTGTGAAGAACATAACAAAGCATCTATCAACAACTTCGTCTATCCGGTGGTCTCGGTATTGGCCAGTCTTGACGACTTCATTGGGATAGAAATGCTTCTCGAAATGATGGACGGTTTGCTCGGGTCGGTAGTACCAGCAGGCATTGATCCATTTTTCTCCCTCAGGGTCTTGCCAGGTCCGATACAGCTGGGCTACAATGGGTTTCGTCGCATCGTTTGGATTCTGAAGATGAACCCAGTCGCCAACTCGCCAGACCTCGTCCTTGTATGTAATACCATTAGGCAATGGTAGACGGCCATCTTCCATCAGGTATTCACTGTCTGCCTTGTTCTTCTCCTGTTCAGCAAGCCTATGTGCCTCTCGGTGCAGATCAACTGCATCTCGGTATATCTGGCTCTCGGGAAGGTTATAAGCCTTTGCGTTATTGAACATGACATCGACATCCCTCATAAAGTGGTCAACGGAAGTGTACTTCTTGCGTTTTGACTTTCTCTTGATAAGATCGATAGCAAGAGGCTCCTTAATCTCAACATAGTAATCTGGATATGCCGACTTATCCGGAAGGCGCTCAAAATGGCGAACCTTCATCTGCCCGCTGCTATCTTTCAGTTTACGGATTCCCTTGAGAACGGCTTTGATCCGAGCCTCCATAGGGGTATCAACACGTGGGGGACGGCCGCGTCTCTTGCGTCCATCGGCATCAGCTCCTTTGTGAAGGTCGTTCGCTCCACTTTCGCGTTTTGAGCTAAGACGAGGTCTGCCTTTGCGTTTTCGACGTGGAGCTTCATCGTCCGAATCTTCTGCTTCTTCATCTTCTTCGTCCTCTTCCTCTTCTTCTTCCTCCTCCTCAGCGGGGAGAGGGTCAGCTTCTGGTATTTCTCCAAGGTCAGGAAGTTGAGCTGTTTCGGGGGAGATTATTTCTTGTTCCGCCAGCTTTTGGAATTCGGATATCATAACATCCTGCGGAGGAGAAAAATTGAAGACTTAGCATGGATTCTCGCTGTAGAGCTGGGAAGGAACTGCATACTTTGATAATGAGCGCGTCCTCGTAAGCCATGGATTTCGGCCTATTGTATGTTTGCGCATTATGTGGGATCTATATGGCCGGTATTAGCATCACCTATTATGGCTAACCTGAGAGGTTGAGGTTGTTCATTTACCAGAGCACAGTCCCTGACAAACTCCGCGAAGTGAGTATAGACTTTGGATTTAATCTTCTGTTTCAACACGCTCAGGGCCATCGGTTCCTTGATCACGTCGTAGTAGTCGGGTACGTTGCGCTTGTTAACGCTCCGATGGAAAAGTCTCGAGGGATCATGGCCGCTGTTCCCAACGAAGTCAGCCTGAGAACGAGACGGGCACGGGTATAGACACGATCGCATGGACATACTCTGGCTCCCTATAGTTGTATAGGCTTATAAGAACATCAGACATGGCCCTCCATTGCACGAGCGTGACTTGACTGGCAGGCGCATCGGCGGCCTTGGAGCTCTCGATCGATTCGACTACCCCAGGAGTCTCAGCTGCCGACTCCTGCGCAGCCTCCCGCAGCTGATTCTCGATGCTGGCAGCACCGCCAGAGCTATCTTCCGCCATGGCTCGACGTGTTCTCAGCGTAGTAAAGCCCGCGACGACTAGCTACCAGAACAAACGCGAGTCGGTCAAGTCGCAGTGGAGTGAAAGTGAGCGAAGCTTGAATAAGGTCCAAGATCCGATAATCGCGAACTTCTTTTTTTTTTTTTTTTTTTTGGTTCCGCGTCTAGATCATGTGATCTTTCCGGATTTATATTTAGCCGCGATTAGATAAACCTTGGCGGGAGTTTAAACCTTAATATGCCCCCAACCGGTTGATGGGACTGCAGGCCAAACAGACTTGGAAGACGACGAGGACGAGCAAGAAACTGATATTCTTAGACATCTATTCTTATATACGCAACTTTCTGAGGGCGTCAGTATGAGACTTCGGATCCGCGGCCCTAATGGCCAGTCTACCGTCGCTCTGGAGGACACGGCAACGGTGGAGGAGCTGCTGGACAATATCAGCCGAGCGACTTCACTATCATCATACGATATAAAGTACGGATATCCACCGCAGTCTCTCCCTCTTAGCCAGTTTGATGCCAAGTCTAAGATTAAAGATATAGGCGTCAATCTGGATGGGGAGCAGCTCATCGTGAGTAAGCGGGAGGAGCCCGCACAGCAGCCAGAGCCGTCATCTGAACAGGCAAGGAGAGAACCAGCAGCACCGCTTTCTCTCACCAAGAAGAAGAGCAGTATAGAAGACAATGCACCAGAGATTCCCTCTCCTGAGCATGGTGGAACGATTGTTCTTCGGGTCATGCCTGACGATAACTCATGTTTGTTCCGTGCCGTTGGCAGTGCAGTCATAGGCGCAATTGATACCATGACCGAACTGCGGTCTATCGTCGCTCAAACCATTCAAGAGCAACCAGACTTCTACACCGCTGCAGTTTTGGAGAAAGCCCCTGATGATTACTGCCGGTGGATCCAGACTGAGGATGCCTGGGGGGGTGGAATTGAGCTTGGCATCCTCAGCAAACACTTTGATATTGAAATATGTTCAATAGATGTTCAGACTCTGCGCATAGACCGGTTCAATGAGGGCTGCCCTACCCGCTGTGTCGTGGTATACTCGGGAATTCATTACGACACTGTTGCCCTATCTCCATCTGACGAACCCTACATCCATGCATACGCTCCACCGGAGTTTGACACCAGGATATTTGACTCCTCGGACCCGATCATTTTGGAGAAAGCCATAGAGTTATGTCAGATATTAAATGAGAAACACTATTATACTGACACCGCCAATTTCCAAGTTAAATGCAACGTTTGTGGAGGACTCTTTGTTGGTGAAAAGGGTGCCACCGCCCACGCAGCCGAGACCGGCCATTATGACTTCGGAGAAGCAGGCTATTCAGGTGGAAAAGATTAATTTTGTCCATCATACATAGCGATAACATTGCTCAACAACGCCGGATTAAAACTTTGCCTACATCAACCTAAAGGGACATCGCCCTTGAGAAGCCAAGCGTAGTCGAAAGCAATATAGCCGACATGACATCAACAGTTTCCTAGCCATAGTCATGTTAAATACAGTCTCCTCTGCATATGAAGAGGGTATTTCGGTAAGATAATTCGAACATAAAACTGCAGCACAGGAAAAACGCACCCAAATTGCACTCGGGATGAGGGATGTGATGTCTGCGTCAAATTATAAAACAACTCCCTAAAGTCCGGCTTTTTGCTATACAGCAAATGGCAGAAACCTCCCGTGGGGTCCATTGAGCCACCCTCATATTCTATTGGTAATAGAAATTGTGCATAGTGGTAAGTCGCCAGTATTTCAAATGCATCTCCGTCTGTAAGAATCTTGAAGAAATTTATTAAGACCTAGACAAAAAAGAGTCACTTCGAACAATGCACGTAGGGCTAGTTTAGCATTCCAGTATGTTGTTCCCTTGACAAAGCTACGCCGAACAAGTATAAGAAACTGTCCTTCTCGAACCCGGTTTTGACTATATCAATCACCCATGCAATAAACCTACTTAACCGTCTGAAACTAGGGGGATATACCGACACTGTTCATGATCTCGATTCGCTTTGTTGGTATCTAAATTGTTTGGATACAGTCAGCACAGCATGTAGTCAGGGGTTTGTATGCACTCGGTGTTGATAACTCGGTAGCATAGTGGATTTTCCAGCTGCTAACTTGTATCTTATTCCTTGCTTCATAGTTACATGACTCACCTTTCCCTTTTACCCGAAACCCCTAACTAGTTAATCATTGTTCAGATACATGTCGCATTCCGTTTACAGACTCCGGCCCTAGAAGAGCGTCGGCCCAGGAGCCATTCCTAGTAACCGACAACGCCACGGTGTGATTCGACTGCGCCGTCAGCTCTGATTAGGATGAGATTAGACGAGTCGACTTGTCTGCTGTCCCTCAGGGTGGCTCAGCTCCTTAGATGCATCTAGAGCGGGACAGTGACTAGTTAACCAGTTAGTCTAATTGACTAAGTCGTTGATCTCGTATCTATGGCAGGGCCTCCTCGCTACAATGCAATAAGTTACAGAGCCTCAATGAGTCAAGGAGCCTCGAGGCAAGATAAATACGCCAGGCCTCTGCACTCCTGCTTGCTTTCTTGCTGAACAATAAAATAACTAGTAACGGCCTTGTCTCGTTTCGTGGCAGATCGCTAGTTATTGGAATATACGGAGTGCATCCCCGCGGGAGATCAAATATCCTCTCCAACATGGAGCATGACCTACTGATAGTGGTGGATGCTACGGCATCTATGGGCCAATACCTGACGGCACTCAACACTTCTATTCCTCAGATCATCTCCATCTCGGCTCTTACCGGATGCTTTTCTCGCATAGGACTGCTTGCATACCGAGACTACTGCGATACCCAGCTGCTGGAATGGTCGGGCTGGCTGGAAGAGTCTAAAGGAGCTGGCGCAAATGATACCGATATCCTCGCTCTAGCAAAGTCACTGGAAGCAGTTGGCGGTGGAGATTCTCCTGAAGCTGCAAAGACTGTGCTTGCGAGGGCCTATGAGCTGATGCGTGCAGATGCAAAGACGACTCTTTTGTTCTATACCGATGCCTATCCCCATTTTGGAGCTGTGGAAGCGCCTGTGAGACGCGGCGGCCACTTTTATGCCCCCAACGGAGTACTTGAGAAAAATGCACTGTCAGACTCTTCATCGTACGGCGGGTACGGCCCTCATTTCGTGGACTGGGTTACAGCATGCAAGTTTATGCGCAGGGGAGAGAAACCTGTGCAGGTGTTTTGCTTGCTGTCACCTTCAATGAGCTGGAACGATTGCGGACACTACAATTATTTATCGACCATGACCCGTGGCGCCTGTATGATTCTCGAAAATTCGATGCCGGGAACCATCTCCAAGGTGACCATCGATCTATTGCTGTCATGGATGGGCGTTGAGCCGGCCAACAGGGCGATCACCATAGATGCGACAGAGAAAGACAACAGCGATGAGGCTGCCAAAAAAGATGCGCTGGCAACTCTGGGCCGCTACAAGTGCGTTGATTATATCAAGAAACTCGATCATGAACTCGACCCTAGGGCGGAAATGTATTTCCCCATCGCCTCGAATAGCTATGGCTCTCACAAGAATAATAGTATCGAAGAGAATGTTGCAAGAGTACCAATGACCCCTGACATTGCCCGAAAATATCTCCCAAAGAAGGATGTGCCGGTCACCAACTTTGCCACGGCTTGGACTACGGATCCAGCATATCGGTCTTTAGCACTCAAACACATAAACAAGATCATAAAGTTCGATGTTAGGGCGATAGCTGTCAACCCGGTTTTCGGAAGCCTATGGAGGACAATTTGCAGTGATCGAACCTGTGACTCACGACAGGAGCTTCTGGATGCCTTTAGCGCAGAGGTCGGAAGGCTTGCGAGTGTAGAAGATAGTGAACAGTTAAAGATATGGTTGGAAGTCTCGTATGACTATACGGCAGAGGTCCTCGAGCTCCTCGAAAGTGTTCCCAAAGAGGAAAAGTTCCCCTGTGTATACCTCGATCCAACCCTTGACTTTACTCCGACCGGTGCAGAGGCAGAAGATGAGTTTGGAAAGCCCATCACTGCCCTTACTAGAGTAAATTTGCTAGAAATTGGCCGATCATGCGACCCTTCTGTTCTCCGGCGACTTGGACGGATCCTCACTCAGTTGACGTACGTTGAAAGAGAGGCAGATTTACCCGAACACATTGCAGCTTCAAGCAATGAAAACGTCCCAAAGATCCCTATGGTATTAGCTCGAGGAGAATATAAACGTCAATTCTGGAGAATACTCCTGCATCTCATTGTCCCCGGGACGATGCTGTCAGCTCGTCCTGCAGCTCTCCTGGCAGCACTGAGTCTGCGATTGGGTATTACTCCCCTCACTGACGTAGCAGAGCGGGAAGCACTCAGTTTCCGAAATAAGTGGAACGACCTCGATGTACCCGAGACTTGGTCAGTTCCATGTTTAAATCTGCTAATTAGCGCAGATAACGCGTATACAAAACGACGAGCTGGCCTTGAGGAAGAACCCGAAAGCCCTGGCCAGTCCAAGAAGAAACCAGCCACACTGTTGAAGCCAAATGATAGAAAGCTTTTTGAGCAGCTTATTGGTTATAGAATGCTGGAAGTGAACCTCGACAGTGCATTGGCTGCAAAGGTGGGTTGGACTCCTGGGAAGACCACAGCACCACTGGGACCTACCGTCACCTGTCGAGAATGTTTATACCCACGTTCAGTCAGCATTATGGACCGCAACAGCAAATGCGGTCTATGCACATATGCCAGTCAGGATACGGCATATAAGAAAGCTTTGCATATTAATGTTTCCATGGACGACGGCCCTGAATCACTGGCAACCTGGGTGGAATGCTGTATACTGACATGCAGAGCACAGTATGTGGTATATGATGTTGCCTCGTTGAGTGTTCGAGCAAAGTGTCATTACTGTCGAGCGCAAAGTGCAACCCCACCTAAGCTACGACAGTCGCGTCCAGATGCCCCTTGGATTGAGTGTATCAAGTGTATGAACCGCTTCATTTGGCCTGTGGAATACCGGCCATCTTCACTTCGTACTTCGGAGTTCACTTGCGCACACTGCAACGCTGGACGGGAAACGGTAGTTGAAATCCAAACGACTGCAAAGAAGATCTCAACTGAGAACTCATACTCGTGGTTGATTTGCGATAACCAGAACCCAGAAACCTGCCCCTTCACAGGTCGCTCACTGTTCAACACCGTTTCCACGTACGGAACAGAAAATTTCGTATCACGAATGACGCTGTTCCCAACGACCAAGGGCGTGTTAACTTTGAAGGGAAAGAAGATACAAAACACTCCCGAGCTTATTTCCACTCTGCAGGATCTTATTTCACGTCTGAAGACGATTAAAGAGCATTGCTCATTGTGTTTTTCAGTTTTCCGTCCTGACATGCTAAACCCAGCATGTGGCCGTCGAGGGTGCCTCCAACGTGTATGCCGCGACTGTTTATCCGGTTGGTACGGACTCAACTCAGCAGGTCGCATCTTGAACATCGGCGCTCTCTCCTGCCCATTCTGCAGACGACTCCCTTCTGCAAAAACCCTAGCGAACTATGCCATGGGCGTACAAGCGATAGCAAACCTTTCCAAGGCAGTTGAAGAGAAAGGAACATGGATATACGCATGGTGCATTGCTTGTTCCTCGGCCAAACAGTTCATGGAGCGAGAATGTGCTCGCGGGGCACCTCCCGAAGTATCCAACTGGAACTGTCCGGAATGCGTTCAATGGGAGGAAGAGCTTGAGCTGGAGCGCATAGCTGCAGAGAACGCGGCTGAGGTGGCTGCTACCCTACGCGAGGAAATCATGGCGAAAAGAATGAGCAAGGTCAAACCATGCCCTAAATGCGGTGTCATGACGGAAAAGATCGCTGGGTGTGCACATATAACATGTCCAGTCCGTCATTGTAAGGCTGAATGGTGCTATTTTTGTGGGAAGCATGCCCGAAACACGGACATTTACGAGCATCTCAACAATGTGCATGGTGGGATTTTCGATCCCGAAGATGAGGAGCTCGTCTTTACTGATGAGGAATAGCTGGTGACAAGGGCTCGAGCGGTGCATAGTTTCGTATTTCGTGTATTAGCCGGTAATGATCAATGAACTGATGCTATTGTTTCGGTGGCGTTTGTGTCATATTCGACAGAATCTGAGAAAAAGGCCTGTGCCGGATTACCGGTCAAGTACGGAGTAGTTTATCGGTGAATCGGAGTGTGACCAGGACAATTGATAGGTAACCACGGTCCAAGCGGGCCCGATAAAATGATATCGACATATGTAAACACTATCTCGACGGAACGTTTTCCCTGGTTGACGTCGAGTTTGATAGCCTTAAGCGCGGCGCCAAGTTAAGCGACCTCGGCGATCCGGGTATTAGTCAGCCGGAACAACCTTATTTAGTTAATTCAACGATGGACACCCAAGTTACTTTCGCTCTGAAGGATCAAATTTCTCGTCTGAAGCTTTTGCGACCTTGTTTCTGCCTTCCTAGCCGAGGGATTCTTTTGCATAGCAATGTTCAGCGAGCGAATGATATATTCCTGCATGCTAAAATGGATATATTAACGTGTTCAAAATGATGTGTTAAATATACAGGAAAAAAGATAAATGAAAACAGAGATGAGTTCGTCGAAACCATCACTCGGGATATCCAAACGGAGAGCATAGCCAGGTGCATGTATATAAACGCGGCATATTCAAAGGCACCAAAGGGAAAAGGAGAAAAGAATAAAAAAATAATCCAGCCAAACAAACCAATAGTACTTTCTCGGGCATTAATCGTGATCTCGGGACATGGGTCAAGATACATCCTGTGTTACGGACGACGGAAGTGACAACACGGAATAATCGTAGGTCATGGATTTGTCAAATAAATCACCAACGTCGAAGATACCGTTGAAGTCGAAAGACAAGACATCGGGATAGGAAGCTGGAGGGGCATGAGGCATTATTACTCCATGTGAGGTAGTATTTGGTATCATTGCTGGTTGCTGGTCATGATGGTTATGAATGACGGGGTTTGGAGGAGCTGTGCTTGGTGCTTGTGTGGAGGCAACAGTAGGAGCAGAGGTAGGAGCAGTAGCAGCAACTGGAGGTGGTGGCGGAGGACTGGGTTGCACTGAGGGTGGTGTAGTGTCTAATGATCTGACGGCTGCTCTGTCTGAATTACTTATAGGGCTGATGTCTCTGTCGGTGAGCGACAAGATGTCACGGGCAATAGTAGCCATCTCGCGGTACGTCCGTTTCCCTAGAGGCCAGTACATGCTAAGGGTTTTAAGGGCGCCCATGTTCAAGCGGATACGCTCTCGTTCTATTTGCAGAGTCTTGTCACGGTAGAGGTGTTTGCAAGCCGAGAGGTGGGCGATTGTTGTGTTTGCAATCATGCAGATGACGAAGGGAGTATGTGATATTATGGTCGTTGGGAGGGTGAGGAGATCATTAAACTTATCCACAGCAAGCAGAACTTTGGACGTGTGTATTTGAACATCCTTGAGTGTTTTGTTTGGATTGTTGGCATCTGCGGGTGCCGGTGGGGCACATCTTGACACAGACTCGATAGGGCTGTAGGACAAACTTGATAGCTCACGATGCAGATCAACGATATATCTGTTTATTATTAGTAAAATAGGGCCTACAGTGATGTCATTGGACACAGCTGGATGTGCCAAAACAAAGAATAAAAATCATAAAAAAGAAAAACGACCTACGTATGGACCAGCATGTTTGCTTTAAATAGCTGTTCGTCAATTGTACCATCCTCCCGGGCAAGACATCGTTTTTTTGGAGGTATAAGCGAACACCATGCCCGCATGCATGTGTCTACGCGGGAGCATACGACACTGGGTGGGTCTGGGTTGTTTGGCCGGCGCCCAGATAAGGCTAGGTCCAGCCCACGAGTAAGACCAACGAGGTGCGCGAACGATGAAAAATCTTGGTCTTCATCATCTGCAAACTCACGCATATCGTACTCGTACAATGTTCTCGGCTTTGGAATGTCCTGCAGCCCAGTTAAAAAGAAAGGGTTAACATGTACTCTATATAATAAAGTCCACTATCGCCGCGAGCGTATGAGAATAAACATACCCCTTTTTCGTAAAGCTCTTCTTCACAGGGAAGAGCAGTGGTTGGCTGTATGTGGCTTGTTCTAAATGGGAAAGTGTGGGTACTTCCGGCAACATGTCCATCAATGACGTATAGCTGCCACCAGGTCCGCCTCCAGCTCTCTTCTAGTAACGGGTTATTTTCACCATACCGTTGCGCGAAGGAATCCAAATGCATCCCTAGGTCAAGGGCCATTCGAATTGTTTCATCGAGTAGCTTGAGGCCCCTCTCGATCTCATTACACCAATATACAGCCACAGAGTACAACAGCCAAGCCTGGACATGATAACCAGTCGGCTTTGCGCCGGAAGCTCTAAAGTCTGCAAAAGCTTGCAAGACTTCTGGCTCGAAGGCAGAGGAAGTGACCGAAGGAGTGAAGAGGGCACCGATGTACTGCATTGTCAGTAGCAATGGGCGCAGAGTAACTGGGTCCTGGGACAGCCGTATCTGAAAGGACCATCGTGGGAGGACACACGGGTGCGAGATGTGAAAGTACTTGTAGTACATGTTGAGCAGGTCTTCCATTTGCGCCTCCGAGTTGGTAGTTGGGCTGCTGCCACTGCTAGTATTTCCGCGGGTGGTCGTCACCATTGGAATGGATCTGGGTACTCCACAGTACGCATCATTGAAGATGTTTTCGTCTGGTACGGGAAGGGAGGCACAGTCTGGAGGCGGCGGCAAGACAGCAGCGTGCTGCATGGGAAGGTCTGCTGGCATAGGGGAGGGAGAAGAGGTCGGTCTGCGACGCCCGCCACGGCGGGACTTGAGATATGTGCACTGCTTCCCATCCGTTTGACAGCGAGAGCACCGAGGGGCCTTTGCATCACACTTTAGATGCCGCGATCGGCATTGGACACAGGCAAGCGAGACACGGATAAAGTGTCTTGTCGGCGCAAAGGAGGCCATTGACTCAGGGTGCTGAGACTCCACCGGAGTCACCATAGCGGGGAAGGAAGTGTCGTAGATAAGTGTGTTGGATATGGATCAAAGTACAAAGGACGAACGGTCAGAATAAGGCGAGGTTGCTTGGAGATATAGTAAAACGGTTCAAACGGGGGCGGAAGAGAAGCGCCTTGTCCCCCAGGAACCAGGACAAGACAACAGAGAGGGCTAGCCTTGGCCTGTGACGGAGAGCGACCCTTGTCTCCCTGCCACTCCTTGCGTCGTTGTCGTTGCTTATATCCGTATGTCTCTGACTGTCTCTGTGTTCTCTGCCTGTCTGCGTGCGCTGTTTGACTACTCTGGAACGCTTCCGTGGGAGTACCTCAGCCGGTTGCCACACGAGTAGAGTCGCGGGAGCAGCCGTGCATGGCGAGATGATGCAGCCTATCGGTCCTTGAGGAGCCCCGTTCTGCCGTCGGTCTCACTGGCTTGAGGCTGTCCGTCCGTCCGTCCGGCCGGCGTAACTTCTCGACCCTTCCGTATGTTCTTCTGCGTCCCTTCGCAGGCGGAAGATGATGATGGAGTCGACGCTGGATGTTGGCGAAGGTTCGTGCCTCTTTCCTTCACCTGCTTATGTAAGCCCACGAAAAGTGGCGCCCGCAACGATGACAAACGACGTCGCTTTTCCTCCCCTGCGAAAGTTACTTGCAGTCTCGAGGCGAGCGTTGGATAGGACAGATAAGACGGGCTGAGGTTTATATTCCCTTCAATAAAAACGTTCACCACCTGAGAGTATATAATAATGGGTTTGCTGGGATGACTACCTCCTTTTTTCACCCCTTTTCCTCTCTATCGACAACTGTGCCGTCGACACTCCAACAAGCGGGAAGCCCGCCAACTTTCCAGCGAGCCAACCAGCCAAGAGCGCGCTGTCTGGCCATCCCTGACATCGACGGTTGACCGCTCAGCCAAGGGCCGCCTGGTGATTGGCGGGGAGCAGCGGCAAGCAGGAATGGCATGCAGATCTTGATAGCTGGCCGTCTTTCGACTTAACTTGTCTCTGTGGTTGACTTGAAGATGTCGTGAGGTCAGTATAAAAGTTTCCCTTTTCTGATAGTAAACAAAAGGGGAAATGGGCAAGGGACAGCAAGCCCCCTGACTAAGACTAACCAAGGGTCTAAGGTCACCATGGAAACAGGTCGCATGGCTCAGTTGGTTAGCGCGTCGTACTAATAATGCGAAGGTCGAGAGTTCGACCCTCTCTGTGACCAGTTCTTTTTGTCTTTCTTTTTTTACTCGACGAGTCAACTGTTTATCTATATCACTGTACTGTCTTTTTAAAACATGGTGATATCCACCTTGCTGGTCTTGGATCGGCTGCGCTCTAACAAAAAAGATAGAGAAAAAAAAACAGATGGTCACAGAGAGGGTCGAACTCTCGACCTTCGCATTATTAGTACGACGCGCTAACCAACTGAGCCATGCGACCTTATCTGGTGATAAAGCCGAGCCGGCTCGGTTCCTTTGAAAGTGACGACGCCGTCCACCACTCAGGAGGCGCCATTTTCCTCAGGAACCGACACGTTGGACAGCCTGACAGCTGTAGAATGTCACCGAAAAAGCCACAGTTCCTCCCTCCTTCTCCGGCTCCCTCTTTTACTGGCTGGGCGCAGCGTGCCTCATGCGCCGCCGGTTCGGTGTGAGATTTTTTATGCAAGGGCAGTCACACTTACATAAGCCACTTGAGCCGCCGGAGAAACAAAGGGCCGTCGATTACCCTTTTCGGCGCCCATCAAAGAAGGACACCCGAAGACAACATCCTCACTTCGGCTTCTGCTTCTCCTCCTTCTCCTGTTTTATTTCCTTCATTTCTTTTACTTCTCACGTTCAAGCGGCGTCCATGATATCAAGACTGTGTGCCGGGTGAGGTTGGGGGCTCTCTGGTCTGGCCGCGTGGTGAAGCCGTTTCTCGGAGTTGCGTGTCTCTGGTTCGGTTGGCAACTAACTACTCACAAGACAGCCTTGTTTCTTGTCCTGCTCGCGCCTCAGTGGCCAGCCCTCGCTGCGACTCTCCAGCATTCAGGCGCTCTCTTAAGCCCTCTTCAGTGGACTCTAACTAGGGTTGAAACCCTTTTTCCAAGGAGGAATAAACCTCGCTTTCGTCTTCGTTGTTTTCTTTGTTCTATTCCCTGCATAGATATCAGGCCAAACAAGGGCACGAGGGCACAAGGAACTCTGAGAGGGAAAAAAAAAATTAATTAAATTAAAAATAAAAAACCCCTTCAACCGATGAGATGGGCTGCTGATAAAAACGATTTGGCCGTTTACTCACCAGCCTGGATATCCTAATGTTATCCATGGATCATTCACGGCCAAGGAGAGCTGCAATTCCCATTATAGACCCTTCCGGACGGCAGGTGAATGTTGCCGAGCAGCTCAGGGCCCCCAACTTCTCTCCATACAGACCTCAGTTTGGAGGCCATCCCGCCAACGGTGCCAGGGCCGTGCCATACCCAGCTCCAGTTTCGGCTCCAGTTCCGTCTCTAGCTCCCCCAACTCCAACGACGATTACCACTGGGCCTGCTCGTTTTCACGGTCCTCGGTCACAGGGATCCCTTTCATCATGGACACCACATCTATTTGCCCAGCCATACACCCCAGCCTACCTGCTGGCCATCAATCGTTCCCCGGCTGTGAGTAAATATACTGTACCCTTGAAGACTATAGACTTCAATGCATACCGCCAGCAATTTGCTGGCAGTCTTTTTCTTGAACCTGCCCCTTCCCATGCCATGCCCCCTATCAAGAGTGTCCCAGTGTCTGTGTCTCTCCACGTAACGAATTTGGTCCCGTCCAGCTACCTCTACTACTTCGACGAGTGTCTCTTGCTTGAGGCCTACCAACAGACTCTAGATCTAGCGCAGCTGTGCCTTTATAATGTTCCCATTGCCCTTGTTGACTTGCAACGCCGCATATTTGAGATCAGAGTCCCAGGGCTCAAGGATGATGTTCCAGCCATCGAGCTTGGAGACACAATCCTTGTCCGCCAGATTCTACATTCTCCAAACCAGATGACAAGGGGGGTGGAGTGGCTTGCAAGCAATCAACCTACTCTTACCGGTTCTATCGCCCCAGGTTTCAATGGCCAGCAGCTTCACGCAGTAGTAGTGGGTGTGTCCAGAACAAAGGAAGTAGTCAGGTTGCGAATTGACCATTTTGACATGACTGTCAACTCCGCATACTCATCCTGGCTTGCCAACATACTTTTCACTGTCCAGCCTAACCGTTATGTACCGCTTTGGGAGGCTCTTACAAGCATTGAGAACGGCTGGAACTGGCCACAGTCTTCTGACTATATTCCCGGAGGATGTTCGGGAAACCTTCAGGATGAGTCCAGCTGGTTCCGCCATATGCTCTTCCCGGAGCCGCATTATGGCTTCATGCAACATACTCTTCCCAAGGGCATCTTTGACCTCGAGTGGGTAGATCCAGATCTTAATTACGAACAAATGAAGGCCGTGGACTCCATAGTATCCAGAAACTATGGCAACGTTCCCTTCTTGATCTCTGGGGTCCCTGGTTCTGGCAAGACAAAAACAGTGGTGGAGTGTACCTTGCAGCTATTAAACTGCTCCTCAGATATCGAACCGCATATTCTACTCTGTGCGCCTTCTAACCCTGCCGCCGATACTCTAGCTACTCGTCTAGCCCCCCACTTGAAACCGGGCGAAATGTTCCGTCTGAACGGATGGGCAAGGACCTTTGCAGAGGTGCCAAGTGCACTCCTGCCATACACATACATCGATAACGACATGTTCTCTCTTCCCGGATTCAAAGCAATGATGGGATACAAGGTTGTCGTCACCACTTGCAGAGATGCAGACATGCTAGTCAAGGCTCGTCTAACCAATCGCGACCTAATGAAACTTGCATGCGAAACTGTAGCCGCAGTTTCGTCGAAGGTTTCTGTTAAGGCCGAGGACATGCTTCACTGGACCGCTCTACTGATCGATGAAGCGGCCCATGATACGGAACCGGCAATATGTATTCCGCTAACGGTAGTGGCCAGCCCACTGCCTATCCATGAGCCTACCAACAATAAATCAAGTCTACCACTGTTTGTCATGGCAGGAGATCACCACCAGCTAGGCCCTCGGATCCACAACTATGACACTTCTCTCTCCATCTCACTTTTTGAGCGACTCTTCTCCTGTCCTTTCTACGCAGATCATCCACTATCTCGCCGGAACGCAGGGCCATACAAGAAACTTGTGCAAGAGATGCTCCCTCTCCAACGTCCCGCATTTACCAACCTAACTCGTAACTATCGCTCACACCCTGCCATTCTACCCGTCCCTTCTGTCTTATTCTACAGTGACACCCTCATCCCCTGTGCTACCCTCGCTGATCCAAACGGCCCCGTTCCAACTTGGCCTGAGTGGAAGGACCCTCACCGCTGGCCAGTTCTGTTCAGCTGTAACTCCTCATTAGACAAAGTAGAAGAACTCCTCCACAGGTCCGCAGGGAATGGAGTATTCAACCCTGGAGAAGCCTATTTGGCTTTATATTACGTCAAGTCACTCCTTCATCACTCTGACCAACTCAGCAACGACGCCTCAAAATCACTCTCATCCCTGGCCATCCACCCCAAGGATATTGCCATCATAACCCCGTTTAGATCTCAAGTCGCGCACCTCAGACACGTGTTTCGCTCTCACAGTCTTCATTCGGTCAACATCGGTCCGCTAGAGGCATTCCAGGGTCTCGAAACCCGCTTCCTCATCATTTGCACAACTCGCACCCGGCCTGGCGAACAGTTTGTAAAGCAAGACCAAGCCCTTGGTTTGGGTTTAGTAGGCGAAAAGAAGCGGTTTAACGTTGCCCTGACCCGAGCCAAGGAGGGAGTCATCGTAATAGGAAATCCAAACGTCCTTGTTGATTCAGGCAAAGATGAAACATGGCGAGAGTTCCTAAGCTACTGCGCAAGAAATGGATGTTGGGCAACTGAAGATAGCCCTAAACTTGAAAGAAGCGGCCCTCTTCTCCAAGAGTATGAGGTTGGGTCTGCACAAGAAAACACAAACAAGAGCGCAAGGTGGTGGGCCAAGAAACTTGCCGGCGCCAACGTTAAAGCTGATAATGAAGATAATGACAGCAATAATGGCCAGGACAATGATACCCCTGATGCTGGTGATAATGATACAGGAGAAGATAATAACGATGATGACGATGACTCTACTAACAACACAAGTAATGCAGATATCAGACTCTCGGGGTATATCAGCAGGTTAGAAAGAGGCCTTCTTTACGAAGAAACGACCAAAAGCAATAGAAGGAAGGGGACCCAGGACCTTGAAAATACAACTTTCTTAGGCCAAAGTGGTGCCTTTCATGCCAGTGCGCCCGATGATTATGACTCCGCGATGTGGACGGCAGGTATTGCTGCCGAGGAAGTTCTCAGGGGTGCATTGGATATCTGATTTGGGCTGACTCGATTTTGACTTGAATTGGCTCCCTTGGGCTACTACCAATGCTCTGAACATACTGGTTTGCAATGATACATACAGTACTACATACAACCCTGCATTAGATGGAATTCTAGCTTGTTTCCTAGATGTGCAACGAGTGCTATTTACAATAGTATCTGGCCATCGAATGATGAAAAACTAAAAGTTTCAACGCGTCAGACACGCTATCTCCTGGTTACAAGCCCCGGGAAAGAGCGAGCAGGGAAGACTACACATCACGGAAATAAAAATAAACCTAGGAGGAAAATACAGCATGCACTCTTTAAGGTGGGGGGAGAAATTGAATAAGATCCGGAAAGTGGTGAAATTCTAATACATCCTCTCTAGAGCCATAGCTAGGGTCTTTTATAATAAGATGTCCGGAAACGAAGAAGCAACAAGCAAGCAGCAAAGGTGCCGGGTCAAGAAGAGCATACCACCCACCAAACCGCCCAACCTACCCTACCCTATGAATGCATCCGCGTCTGCACCGGTCCGATGATTGTAGTATTCCATAGTTAACCCGGCTATCCTTGAAACTCAAGGGAAACAACAACAAAACAAACATGCCAAAGAAATTGCCCATCCGCTCCAGATCCGATCGATATGCAAACTGCGTAAACAGAGAAACAACAAGCAGGTAAAAATGAGAACGTATAATAGAGTGATAATGGAAAATTAAAACGAAAAAAAAAATTAGAGAAGGGGGAGGAACAGGCTATAGTACTCAAATTATAACGGGGGAAAACGATGGAAATCGGAAAGCCATGAAATGAGGCCGTATAGTCGTGCATTCATCTCACGTTTCAATCGGGGCGGCATTAACGTTAATAATGACCAGCGTAGGATTGTCGTCCTTTCCTCACAAGTGCGCCAGAGCTCTTCCCAAGCCCAATGTCAATTCTTTTCATTTCCTCACTGAGTGCGTCTAGATCACCTCCCATACCACCATTGCTATAGGTGTCTGAGCCAGGATGAACAGGTACCTTAGCTGGGATAGGAGGGCCACTTTGTTGGTAGTAGTTGGAATGGGAAGGGGAATGAGAGTGAAGAGGACGTGTAGAAGGGCAAGGAGAAGGCGAACGCCGGTTTGCTTGAACTTGAACTTGAGCCTGGGCCTGGGCTGCCTGCCGCGCGCGATAGTGGGGAGGAGTCATAACATTTGCAGGAGAGGAATAGCTGGAGGAGAAGCTTTCCCGGTGAGGAAGTGGGCTGGTGCTCCCTTGACGAGATGAGGATGGACGGTCCATTGTGCTACTGGTAGCAGTGCTCTCATTGCTAGGACTGGATGATAAAGGAACATATGTGATACGTTTAGGAGGCCTTGCTGGCGTAGCACCGCTGCTTGACTGGTATGAGTTCCTGGAAGAACCGGATGAAGTGGCCGCCCGGTCTCGTGTTGTTGTTACTCGAGGACCAACAGTATTTGTGTGCGAGGTGTGCTTGAACCGAACTACTACTCCTGGCTTCTTAGATTTTCTCTCTGGCTCAGGTGCCCAGGTATCAAGGGGAAGATGGTCAGATGGATCAATGACTCGACCGTCATTGCCAATAATGGGTCCAAGAGCACGCAGTTTATCGACTTCGTGCTGACGAGCAGCTTCCATAGCTTCCTCCGGCGTTTCGTAAGGCGATGCAGGTTGTATTAGGGCTGAAGAGAGAGAAGCATTGGGATTAAGCGTGTCGTATGAGTCTGGTCCGAACGGCACCCCCTGAAGGGAGTCTGGGTTAGCAACCGGGGGTGGCTGTGGGCTCAAAGATTTGCGGGCGGGAACTTGTCGAGGGTCAGGCGAGACGGATTTGCGCTCTGGTATAGGTGAGGGAGAAGCACGATTTGGCGTTTGCTGAGGCGGAACATAGCTCTGTCGTCGGGCAACTCTGTTGTCTGCTGTCGTTTGAGTCGGAGGGTCGTTGATATGGCTTAAGTGCATAGAGATATCGCTCCAGCGTCGGGCAACAATAAGATCCGAGCTTGGATTTTGTTGCTCAACGCCGGCAATGAGAGAGGATGGGATCGATTCACCGCAAGAGGTGGTTGGTCGTTCTGAAACTAGTACCGACTCCTGGGGTTGAGCAATGGAATGATATGATGGTGTTGGAGAGGTGGAATAGGTCTGCTCATTTGGAATCGGCGAAGTACTGTACCTTCTGTTGGCGGCGGCGTGAGGAGAATAAGCAACATATTCTTGATGCATTTCCCCAGTTGATCTATGAGGATTTCTAGAGTCGCCGAGACTGAGCGGTTGTGGAGCTGGGATTGATTGAGAGCGATGTGCTAATTGGAGATCCATAACTTGAGTTGGTCCCAGCTGTGCTGGACTCGGTTGCCTTCCAAGCCCATCACGGTGGATTGGGGGTGGCGGTGGAAGGTCATGCTCCTCATCTGCTTCATGAACTTGTGGCTGCATATGGCCATAACCATGGCCGGTATAGCCGTGACTGTTAACAGGATGATACTCCAGCTGTCTCATGGAGTTTCTCAATGGACTCTCCTGAAACACATCATTCCTAGGTAATGAAGAGCTGTAGTGATGGTGACCACCAGAGTGGTTGGAGGGGCTTTGTGTGAGCTGTAGCTGGTGAGGCTCAGGAGAAGGACGATGATGGCTATATCCGTCCGGAGTACCATGTGTAGATCCCCTGGAAACTGGGAGATGAGAATGCTGACTACTTGGTCGAGGGTCCGAGCCAACCGATTGACGAACAGCCTTCCTTGGCGGTGTCTCGTATGGGCCTCTGTGGTGACTCGTAGCAACAACGGCCTGGGAGTAATGGCCATCTATATGCTGACCATGCTGGCTCTGGTGAGACTCTGGACGCTCAGGTTCACGGTAATAGTCGGCATGTAGGTTGCCATACGAATGGTTACTTGATGCTGACACAGAAGGAGCTGGAGCTGGAGCCTGATGCTGCACAGGCGGGTGGGAAACTTCTGGCTGGGAGTACGCATTCTCATAATCACCATGGTAGTGTTGCTGAGGCTGATGAGGATGATTGTGATGATAAGCAGCTTGAGGTTGCGTAGGGGCAGGTTCCTCCCATTGCCGATGAAGGTCATCCGGCGTCTCATAATGTCGAGCAGCGCTGGGGACGACGGCGTGCTGTACTGGCACAGGCTGGGCCTGGCTCGCATGGGGTATGTTGCTAGGTATCTGTTGAGACCTAATGGGGGCACTGTGGTCAGGCTGTGCTGGATGACCTGGCTGAATCGCTGGTTTAGGCGACTGATGGGACGGTGAGGGGGCCGAGCCGGCGGAATCAACTGGCAATGGTCTCCGCCTGGGCCCTTTTGTCCTCCTAGAGCTAGGCTGAGGCTTCTGTGGGGCCGCTATGCCCTTGCGCTCAGCTTTCTCAGCAGCAGCAGCCTCCTTTCTTCGCTCAATGACTGCTTCGTCCTTGGGCCGAGTGTCGTAGTACGTCAGCTCCATTCTCAATTCGCCCGCATATTTTCCCTTGCACTGCAAATTGTGCCACAGGTCGTTCTGCCCGCCACCGGGTACGATAACGTTCTTGAGATCCACCCAGGTTTCTCCAATAAGGTCTGTCTTTTTGTCATCATTGAAGACAGAGAGCTTCAGCTGGTAATAATCGGGTGAGGAGTGAACGGTGAATCGCAGTTCTTGGTCCCTATACCGTGCGATTAGCATCTATACAAGAAAATGCAGCTTTCCGCTCTGTAGTCGAGAGTGGGCTATGGCTTCAACACATACCATTTGGGTGTCTGCCCGCCTCTCATATCCGTCTCTGTCTTTTTCGCCTCTTTCCCCAGCCGCGCAGCACAGTAGGGATTCTGCTTCCCCATCGTCTTCCTGTTCGGTAGGTTCTTCGCGCGGTCGATAACGGCGACCAGCGTGCCAATTTCGGGCCCGTCAATCGACATGTCGGCGTATATCCCCGCGGTATGCTGGCCCAGGGCCAATTTCGTTGCAGTTGTTAACATGCTGGGTGGAGTTGAATGTGGTCGGTTAAAAACGAGGGCTATGACATGGTCAGCAGATCATCCCCTCCCAGAAGGCAAAACAACAACAAAAAAAAAACAAGGAAGAGGGAGTTTGCCAGAGGCAGAAACGTTCAGTAACAAGGAACATAATATAATAACGGCAGAGGAAGAGCATAGCCTGGTTAGGGTACGCAAGAATATCAATGGACAAGGGTCGGCTAGGTGACGTACCACAACAGCTTCCTTGCCTAGGGCATTATCTAGCAGCATATATAGATTGGATGGCTCCAGAGTATAACTGTACCGCCAGCTAGGAACAAGATGCACGGCAGATAAGCAAAAGAAAGACAAAAAGAGTGAAGAATAGCCTGTATCCAACCAGAGAGAGTGTGTATAAGTTGGTAGAGAAGAAGAGCAGACGTTGTTTTCTTCCGCTTTCGTCCTTTTCTTGCTTTTTGGCCTGCAAGAAAAAGCAAACTTTTGGGCGATTCACAAGATGACTAAGCTAAAGTTTAAAAAAGATGGTGGCTGGTGGAAGGCGCGACCAATCAGGCTCTTTCCCCTTTTGGGTGGCTGGGACGGATCACGTGTAAGACCCACTTCAGCCCTACGGTCACGTTATTGCTTAATAAGAGACTTACGGGTAAAAATAGCCCCGGATTCCGATATTAAAAAATCATTTTTTTCCGAAAAGAGTAAAACCGCAAAAGAAGGTGGAAGACCGGTGGAGGACAGGAAGAAACTAGACGAGAAGCGAGCGGAAGCAAGCAAATAAAAGCCGAAGACCAGAAGCTCAGAACATGGAGGAATAGGTTTCTACACCCATATCCGATATACTGCTTCTCAATTGAGCTATACACGGCTTTATTCGCTGCAATGGCTGCGCCAGTCCTACCCCTGCCGCAGGTGAAGCTACCCACCACTCCCACCACTCGACTCACTCCGGAGCAGCTATACTGGCGATCTTTCAAGTCCCTTCTGCTTCTGTCATCTCCCTCCAACACGCCGATAACACATATATCTCAGCCACTTGCGCCCACGTCCTCGTCATCGGCCGCCGCTATCCAACCGCCAGATATTTTCACTGTAACAACGGGTGCGCGGGTGCAGATCTACTCCATCAGAACAAGAAAACTGCTCAAAACTATTACTCGGTTCGATGATAACACACGATGCTCAGACGTACGGTTTGATGGCCGGGTCCTTGTCGCTGGAGACGAGACTGGAGCCGTCCAGGTTTTCGATATCAATTCCCGGTCGATATTGCGGACATGGAAGGAACATAAGCAACCAACATGGGTAGCGAAGTTTTCGCCGTCCTCTGCTACGGATTTATTGACCGCCAGTGATGACCGGACTGTTCGACTATGGGATCTCCCTAGTGAAACGAGCGTTAGGAGCTTTGCGGGACATTCAGATTATGTCCGAAGCGGCACATTCATGCCCGGCGCCCAGTCATCGAACTTGGTAATTTCCGGCAGCTATGACCAGACGGTTAGGCTATGGGATACCCGAGCAGAAGGCCGGGCAGTGATGACGTTTAAGATGCCTGCGCCGATAGAGAGCGTGCTGCCTATGCCTCTCGGTACGACGGTCCTTACCTCTGCAGACAATCAGATTGCTGTCCTGGACGTAGTGGCTGGGAAGCCATTACACATGATCAGCAGCCATCAGAAGACAGTTACTTGCTTGTCAGTGGCCTCACAGGGAAGTAGAGTTGTCAGCGGTTCCCTCGACGGCCACATGAAGGTCTTTGAGACAACTGGCTGGAACGTTGTTGGTGGAACTAAATATCCATCTCCCATTCTCTCCCTGGGAGTAATCAGCTCTGGCCCTCAGAGAGAGGATAAACATATCGCAGTAGGCATGCAATCCGGTGTCCTTTCAATCCGCACCCGACTGTCTGGGGAACAAAAAGCTCGTGAACGGGAGCGAGAACGAGAGATGAAAGCATTACTCGAAGGGAAACTAGAAGAGCATGACCGCGAAGTGGCAAAGAAGAACAGGCTAAAGGGTAAAGGTCAAGGTTGGGAGAAACGGCTGCGTGGTATGGACTTTGCTGGTGATGGAATTGATATCGTCATCGATCCAGATCAAGGGGGAAAGAAAAAGCGCAAGCGGGAGAGTGCATGGGAGAACGATCTACGGAAGGGCAGGTATAGCAGCTCGCTAGACAAGGTCCTTGAGGGAGGAGATAAGATCACCATTATCACTCTACTCACTGCCCTTCGGCATCGTTCTGCATTACGGACTGCTCTGTCTAATCGAGACGAAACGTCGTTACAACCTATACTGAAATGGGTATACAAAGCCATCCCCGACCCACGGCTTGTTGACTTAACCGTTGAAGTTTCCATGAATATTCTGGATATCTACTCCGGAAATCTTGGCCAGTCAGTGCATATTGATAACATGGTACGTAAGCTGCATCGGCGAGTCCAGGAGGAGGTTGATCGGGCTCAACAAGCGTGGCAGACACGGGGGATGCTAGATATGCTGAAAGTATGACCCTTTCAATCCTCATTCCGCCTTGCGAGTCAATATTCATATCTTGGTTTTATACATTGGTGATACACCCTGGCTGTTTGGCGTTGCATTATGATATTGTTATTCATGTAAGGAGTTTGTTGATAAGATTAAGGGGTACAAAAGTTCTTAACTAGTGCTCAGCCTTTAATGGTTTCCAAATAGCGTTGTAAAACCCCCGGGCGGGGGCTGAAGCCAATTTCTCTTATCATACTTCCATCCTTCAGCCCCCTCTATGACGTGGAAAGCATACGCAAACCTTGACTTGTCACTTGGGTTATTCTCACTCTTATGCAGAACGTTCCCATGAATCAATACGAGAGAACCAGCCTTGATCTCCACGAGTTCATAATCCGACGCATCAGGTACATAATCTTCCTTTCCTTTACTCTCCTCATCAATGGCAGCTGGCAAGTTCGGTCCATCCCACGCCACAAACTCAGTCCCTCCGGCATCCTGGGAATCCGCATTTGACCTCACAAATCTTCTCCTAATCCTGCCTGTCTTATGACTACCCTTCCAGAATCCAAGAGTTCCATTCTCCATGTTAGCATCTTGCAGCGCAATCCACCATCCAACAGCAGATGGTGGATCCGTGTATAAGAATTCTGAATCCTTGTGGCTGGGTACCGGAGAGCCAATACCTGGCTGCTTGCAAATGACCATGCTCTGGAGCACTCGAGGGTCACGGAAACCCAAATCCTTGGCTATTGCTGCATTCCGAGCTCCCACCGGGCCGGTATGAGTTGCATCTGAGAAAGGCTTGGACAGAGAATGTATCGAGTGTCCTATCTTGTTTACCGAAAGATTTTTAGGTTGTAGCAGCTTCGACGGGTCAGAGGGACTGAATGCGCCGGGCTCGAAAAAGAACCGAATCTTGTCGTTGGATGTAAGGAAGTATTCATCTCCAACATGCTGAGATTTTGACGAGGGGTCATCTCCTGTGGTAAAGCGGGTGAGAGGATGGGTATTGATGTCAAAGTTCTCTAGTAGTTCATTTGTAGTATCGAGCAGGGAGCTGACTTGGTCTTTGGACAGGAAGTCGGGGATCACAAGAAAGCCATTATCTTGAAAAAAAGTGGCCTGTTCGGCCGTCAAGCCGGGAACACCAACTGTATTAGCCATGTTTGTCTCCTTTGCACCCTGTATTGAAGCTGAAACGAATATTTGACTGGATCTCGAGACATTTATGCAATTTGATCACTTCTGGCCGAGGCTCAATAAATGCGGGGGACTCCGGCGCTATTCCAAAAGTGGAAAAAAGTAAACATGTAATTGATGACTAGGCGGAGTAAGTCCGATACAGAGTAAAGTAACGCCTCAAATGTATGCGAAATGAACGAGATACGAAAACAGCAGGGATAGTGAAAGAATGAAGAGAATAACGGCCATTTCAACCTCCGATAGCGTCAAGGATGCCCTCAACAGCATCTCCATCACTGTCCGCCTTCCTTTCAGCCTCAATAATTCCAATACCAGTGACAACAATCATATCGAGATGCTGGTCAATTTGACTTGGTGGCAGTAACACAATGATTTCTTCATTGTCCTTGTCGTACTTTGCAATCACGTTACGTTTCTCATCCACTAGCTTCTGCTTGCTGCTGAATAAACCATCTTCCTTCCACTGTAGCTTTCCCATGCTACGAGTATGAAATTTGCGCCCGGAGGCGAGGGGATCAGGGCGTTTCATTGATGTATCAAATCCATTAATTGAGACGTCTACTTTGGAAGAAAGGTCGTGGAATGTGATTGTACCGACGATTTGACTCGGTGGAGGTTGGTAGTTGTTAAAACTTTGAAAGTAGGATTGGTTCTGCGGCTGAGGTGGTGGATGATAAGGGTGATTGTAGGGTTGACTGTATGGCAGATTATATGTTTGACCGTATGGTTGGGGATATGGCTGGTTATATGGCTGGTTAAAATGCGACGGTGGTGGGAAGCCATACGGTGGCGGCGGCTGGATTTGCATGGGAGGCGGAGGCGGCGACTGGCCGTTAAACGGCACGCTGTGTTTGATCACTTTGGCATGGGGCTTCGACTTTTTATTTATCTCGGCCGTGTACATAGGGATAGGGTTATCGCCGCAGGTAATCCTATATGTCCGGGCCTTCTTGTCCTTCCTCGAGTCGACTTTCAAGTGAACTCCGTCGACCATGGCGAGGTATGTGTATAGAGTTGGGTATAATGAGGGTGTGAAGATCAAGCAGAGACTGGTATACTATTAATGCGATAGTTGCAGTATAATAGTATGGGCAGTGGAAGAGATAGTAGTAGATTGTTGGAAGAAATCCAGCAACCGGGAGTCTCGACCAGCCATTTATATACAGCGGCCCGACGGCTGATCTTCGGTGCAGCGCCAGCTGAACATACCCTGCTTGCGCCCCACCAACATCAAAATCGGTATCATCAGCCGCCCAAAGCCAAAGAAACCCATAAAAATCTACCAAATCATCGACTCCTTCGTTGCATCAAAAGGCGCTTGGAATAGGGGAAGTCTTGGCGAAATCTCCAATAAATGGCCTAAACAGGTCTAGTGCGATATCTTTGGCTGGAAAGGGAAAAGCGCGCGTTTAATGCTCAGCCTCGCGGATGTTTCAACTTTGTGTGTTCATATCAATATCCAGGCCTTTCTGACGTATAGGCACAGATGTTGGGTAGCGGTTGAATTCGAGATATACCCACTTGGATTACATGTTCAGCTGTCGGTTGGCAGTCTGATTCTGCCACGGGAGAATCTAGACCGCAGCCGGTCGACGAGAGCTGGGATCCCATATGTCCAGTGGCATAGCATACCAGCTACAAAGCCTAGGCCATCATTCTTAAACGCGACCAGCACTCCGACGGTAACAATCATCACAGTCCATCTCTTCTTCCGTTCATCAGTGTCTAGGGAGGCTCCAGAGATAGGTCCAGTCAGAATTCCTCTGTCTTCTTGCGAGCGCAGGTCCCAGGCTGAAGACGTGTTCAGCGACTCGCCCACACTGGCTAGCTCAAGCCCTGCTGCAATCACCATCACACTCAATAGTGAGACGGGGAATTTCGCCAGTAGGTCGACAATGGTGTTGCCAAACAGCAAACCGATCACTACCTTAGCAAACCCGAGAAAAATGATACTGGCCCCGGATCGAGCTCCAAATCGATATTGGGCTGCAAGACCACCAGATCCATGACATACTGGCATGGAGCCAAACCAGATGCCAATTAGGTTCATGGCAGATACGCTTAGTCCAATTTCTGTGACCGTTGGAGTCTGAATATCTGGTAGCAGGTCTGCTGCAAGATGCACCACAGCAATGACAGAGTTTAGTGTTGTAAGCGGTACCTGACCAACTCCAGCGTCAAGGATACCAGTATTCCAATCCAGTAGACTCGGTATAGTAAGCCACGGCCTCCAGAAACGGAAACCAGGTAGGATACCGTCTTCCGACACAGCCAGCCGTATAATGGCAAACACCAGCCCCAAAATAAAAACACTTAGTCCATAGGGAATGCGTCGGTAGACATTAGTTATAACCAGGCCAACAAAGGCAGCAATCATCCAGATATAATTGTCCGCCCAGGATGGTTGAATCCACGACATTGAGCCCTTCAACGTAGCACCGGCAGATACAACGAGCGATAAGCCGGCTCCAACTTGTATCCCCTTGACAACTGGTATAGGTACTACCCCAGAAAACCAGCGCAAAGCTCCCGTCACACTAAAGAGTAAGATGCAGATAGCCACAAACAGTCCAGCTGCAGCAACCTGGCCAGCAGTGTATTTCCCCGCAATCGCCACAGCTGCGATGGCCTTCATCGGCTGGACGGGCAGCGGAATACCAAAAAATAGGCCCGTAAGGATATTCCATATTCCAGAAAATACTAATGTACTCGGTAGCGAGATTGAGTTGTTTATTGTCAATGCGATCAGGATGGGTAGAAAGGTTCCGAGATCCCCGACCGCTCCAGATATCTCTGCAAGCGGACGTTCCCGGAACGTCTGCCAGTTCTGGTTTGTAAAGTGCCGGATGCGCATCCTACTCCACATTTCTCCTCGAGGTCTGGGCGAGTTGAATGGTAGGGCCAAGTGCGGTCCGCAGTATTGAAGGCAAAGCAGAGCTAGAGGTCTGGAATAACTGGAAGAAATACAATATCGGTCTTGTCGTTTTCAGCGACGCGTGTCATTCACGGGGCCTAACGTATCCAGGGCGGCTGGACCTTGCGTGGACGCTTGAATGATAAGAGTTCGCGAGGGCCGTTTGCTTGTTATTACCTCGGTAAGGTGTTAGTACAAGTGAAAACACAGAAAAAATGAACAGTATACAGTTATTCCGCCTGCAGGAACTGTGGTACTGAGAATCATCGGTTTTGCCGTCCAATATCCTGGAGCTGACCCAGAAACTGCTACCTCCAGTAATGGCTGTTGAACCTGAGGAGTTCGAGATGTGATGGTTAAGTCCACCCGAGGGAAAACAAGGTTACGGATATGACTAAGCGGCAAATTGAATGTTTGTTACTAATCTCTCCTTTGCCAAGAAGTCATTGTGGCTGTGCACTGACTTGAGATTGATCAAGAATTCCCAGTCATTTTGTCCATCTTACTCAGTAGAAGAAAAAAAGTGAGTAGAAATTCGGCACTCGAAAATCAATACACCGTATCAACTTGGAACATAGTATATAAATTATGTGTATGTTCTACAGAATACTGGCGTAGCAGTCTATTTTTAGATAGCCCCTGTACTTTATTAATAAGCTTAAACTTTGAGTAGGTTTTAAATCACGTGGAAGGTACAACCCCCATATTTCCGGAGAAGCAGAACACCCCTTCTTGTACTCCGTATACCATCGGAATCCTTGAAGTTGCACAACAGAAAATGGACCCAGATACCCCTCCACCCGCGGAGCAGCCCGGCGTGCTCAATTACCTTCTTAGCTTTCTGCTAGTCGGCTTAGCATGGGGATTTACAACACCCTTTATCCGCCGCGCGGCAGTCGATTTCAATGCGAGGAATGAAGCTAAACAGAATGTTAATCAGTCTGATACGAGACACGGCGAGCAATCATTCCTCTCAGTTCCATGGATAAAGGAGAAAATTTTCTCTGTATTCTGGACGGTAGTGAATCTACTGCGCACTCCGGCATATTCGGTTCCCTTACTGATTAATTTGACGGGGAGCGTGTGGTTTTTCTTACTGGTTGGAAAGCATGGTATTCACATTTGGCTCATTCTTTAACTGTTGTATATCTGTAAAGCGTCTTTCTAACATTGTGGTCGATAGAGTTCAGTCTTACAGTCCCAATAACAAATTCGACTGCATTCTTATTTACGGTCCTCGGGGAGTGGTACGTTGAAGGCAAGGTGATATCAAAAGGTGAGTATTAACATCAATAGAATGCCTGAATATTGCAACTAATGATAAATTGTAGAAACTTGGTTAGGGATGATCTTGGTCCTTGGTGGAATTGCTCTATGTGTGCAATCCAAACTCTGATTTATACAACCTCTCCTTTATCTTCTCTGAGAGTTTCACACCCGAGGCGTTTATAAAGTATCTCAAGCGTCTTACATTCCCTTATCGTCTTGTTGAAAGTATGAAGAATGGCTAGGTAGGATGGCTGGCCCCTCCTGTGCCTGTACAAACGAGTATGAATAGACAACCGCAATCCTTCGTTATAGATAAGACCCAGACTGGTCTAGTCATGATCCTTTAAGAATATACCAGATTTCACTTCTTCAAACGCACGGCTAACCACACCACCGACAAAATCTTTGAGTAATACCTGCAGCTGCTCCTAATAATACGGCCAAACACGACGTATCTCTTCCAAAATCGCCTGGTGCCCGCGTAACGTGGGGTGAAACAGTCTTGCAGTGCTCGGCGCAAAGGGTTGACGACCACCATTGACATCTAGACTGTCGTTGAAGCCACGCATCGTTGCCTCAGGAAACCTTGCTTTGACAATTGCCATTCCGCACAATGCTCTCTCCCCCCAGTCACCGGAGAGACTTGACTCATGCTCGCAGGTCTCAATATCAACTTCGTCGTCCGGGACAAAACTTCGAAAATCGACGTCGAAAAACCAGGTATCTTCCCCATTGACAGGTGGCTTTCCCGGCTGGCAGAAACGATGTTTGACAAATCGCGGCGCCCAGTTGACCCATATCACTCTGTCATCCGATCGAGCCCTGATGATCTGACCAATCCTGTCATTCAGCTGATCGGAAATATCGTTGATTCTCTTCCTTAGCTCGACCGAGAGATACTGGTGCCACCAGCCGGGCCAGTAGCTCAAGGTGTATTCGTTGCAATCTTCAGTCAAGGCATCGTCGAAAAAGGCGCTATATCCCGTTGCAAGGATCCTAAAAGACGGGGAGTCGCCCCTTTCCACCAGTAAGTCTAGCATTGCATTGTATCCGTCGGCAAACTGACTGCTGGCTATAACTGCGCTGGCAAATTCTAATCTTTCCTCACACGAACCCGACAAAGGGCCGTAGAAGTTATAGACACAGGCATTGAGGAGGTTAAAGAAACCCACATCGTTTCCGCCAATAGACAAAGTTGCAACGCTTGCATTCTCGACTTTCTCAATATATTCGGCCACTGATCTGTGCAGCTTTCTTTCAGCACGGTTCGTGTATGTGTCTAAACCTAGCATTCTGACTCCTGAGCATGCTAGGAACTGGAAATCATGGGCCTCTGGAAGCAAGCTGCTACGGTTCAACAAGCCTGGATAGCTGTCGGCGAACTGCCAGCATTCACTGCTTACTTCAGGGCCTGCACCTACTCCAGCCGCATATGAATCTCCCAGGGCGACGTATTTTTTGATCTGTGTAAGGGGAGTTAGATGGCCTGCGTTTTCTTCTACGTTTATGTGGTCAGCATGTATACACATTTGGTGGTTGATTGTCTTACCACCAGCGAACACCGTAGAAGCAGTACTCATCAGCCATAAGAAGAATAGATAGCGATAAAACGACGCCATTCTTTAATTAAGCTGAGTTATCCAACTCACTAGTTGTTTGATGAATGTATTGTGTTTGTGTGAAATGTTTTGGTCGCGTGTGTGTATAAGAGCTTCCCCTGAATCACAGGCGCTCTTACCCCGGTGTCTGCTGTAGCTGTAATACTTTTCAACGATCGGAACACTACCCATAACACACTGAGAGAAGAATATTGTACTGTATTCATAGGTCTATCATACCTATACGTTAATGAAGTCGTCAAGTCGGACTCCATGTAACCCCGGGAAAAAGCGACAAAAACAAGCAGAACCCTTCGAGCCCCCCCCCCCCATCCATATCCATATCCATACATACATGCACTTATATACATGCGTTCCCGCAAAACAAGGGGCATAAAATGATGAGACAGAAGATAGGAAACGGAACAGGGAAAATGCAGAATTACGTTTCTTACGTATATCATCAGGCGTGGGTATAGACGAGTACATCAAGCCGTTAACATACCACCTGGCATACATCGGTGGGAAGTGGAGGAAAATATACAAAGAGGAATAGAAGTCAAGTAAAAAGGAGATAGTCTATGTCTATACTCCGCGGAACTATAGAAGTAGTTAGTATTGAAACTGATACCAGGTAAAAAGGGGACATACCATTCTAACGACCAAAAACCACATTGCACCGACGAATCTGAACAGGGACAGGCCTGCAACACTCCATAATACAACGGCCATGTAGATAATGCTCCTCTTCTGAGAGTTACTTTGGCTATTTGAGTCGACTCTCTCCAGGCCGGCAGCACTCAAAACCACGGCTCCAAGGGCAAAGTTACAGAAGATCCAAGCGAGGACGACGGCACTTCTGAAACCCTTGTAGTAGTCCTCTTGCTTCTCGGACTCAGAGACAACACGCTTCTCCTTGGGCGGCTTGCTGGCGAACTTCGCGAGCTCAGCTTCATACTGGGCGTTAAGATCTCCGTCATCCTGCGGGATTTCAACATCGACTTTGCCACCTGGTTTAAGATGGGCTGAAGGCAGTTTTTCAGGTTTATCGTCTCCTTTGGTTCCCCATGTAATGTCATGGGTGTTACAGAAGGCGTAGATGTTGAGGACATTGATATATGTCGGCGTGAGGAGGAGATATTGTAGAAACTAATTTCTATTAGTCGAGTTTCCAATCTGCAGTAAAGGTGGGGGCAAGAGACTTACGCAAGTGAACATGTGCCATGGATCGAAGAAGAGGATGGAGGCCAAGAACCAAAAGACATAGGTAGTCAGCAAAGAGACGAAGATGGAGAAGAACTGTAGGTTCTGGAACAGGGTAGCAAAGGTGAATTTCCCTTCACGAGCCTCGTTCTGTATTGACTTGACGGTGACGAAAATGGCTGCAAAGGTGAGGTATATCATGATCATGCACCAGAAACCGACCATGGTCATGTAGAACTTGTTTGATCCCTGCGGTCTATTACCCAGCGCAAGGACGAAGCATGTCACAAGCGTAGCGAGATAGAGCCATTCGAAGACAACACCAAGGATACTGCCTGCTTTACCGAGGAGGTCGGCGGTACCTAGAGAAGCAGTAAGGATGCGGAAGACCAGGAAGAAATTGCCCTAAAATAACCAGTTAGAAGATGATCGATTAGGTCAATTAGAAGGGAACACATACGATTGCGAACCAAGCGAACAAAAGGTTGATGGTTTGGTATATGAACTCAATGATGAGCATGAGTTTGCGGGTGAAAGAGTGATTACTCCTGCCGACCTGGTAGAAGTGCAGGATGGCATACACAGCAGCAAAGAAACTGCCGTTAAGCCAACGTCTTCGTTGCAGAATGAACTCGGGCATACGATCCGGCACATCAGTCTCACCAGTGGCACTCTTGACGTACTGCAGGATCCACTGGCAGTTACGCTTGGTGACGAGCTCGAAACATAATATTCGGTCTTCGGCGAGGTACATGTTTGCAGTGAAGACGCCTGCATTGGCGCCATGCATCTTCTCACCGGCAAAGTATTTCTCCAGTGGTCCCTGACCGTTCTTGTCATTCTGTAACGCAACATACCGGTACGCAGAGAAGGCACCGGGAAGGACGGAAATAAAACCAAAGGCAGACTCGAGTGGCTTATCGAGAATATTGGACATCTTGTACTCGAAGTTTTGGCCAGCAACGAGCGGGTTGAACAGTTTCTTGCCGTGTGATAACATGACCTTGATTTCACCGCAGGCACCGCCGCACATGGGTTCGAGGTCAAAAGCACGCCAGAGCTGGTATATACTTCGCCCGCCTGGTTTTGTTCCAGCATCGAGGAGAACACAGATATTGGGGTCGAGGACACGGCCAAAGGCTTGGAAGAACCATCTGTGAGAGTTGATCTTTTTCTGATTCTTCTCTTTAAGACAGAAGAGAAGCTGGACTGGCATTCCTGGCCGCGGCTTGAGGATAACCTGGGTGCCCTTGACCTCCATGCCTATCTGGGTGGTATATTCGTAGATGTGAGCAGTGACGTCTTTACCGTTAACCTGCTGCTTAGCAATGCCATCTTGGTAAACACCTAGACCGGCAAGGACAGCTCTTGTACGTGGGTTTATCTTTGCACGACCGTCTGAGACAATACAAACGACAATCTTCTTCCAGGCTTCTTTACCCCATGTCTTGCTGCTGGTGCGCGAGCACATGTACTCGATGTTCTTGAAGACACCGGCCATAGTTCGGGCGAAGAGGAACTCGTCTTCATTGTACATAGTGACAACAATGAACAATTCGGTGTGTCGTGGTTTGGCAAACAGCCGCTGCCGCAGTGTGAACCGTTCCTGGTAGAAGTCTGCCGGGTCACAGGTTGCAGCCGAGTAGCGCATATGAGTGAACTCGTCTCTCTCCGGGGGTTCGGCATGGTTTATCTGGCTCAGAAGCTTTGGTGGAATGGGACAGTCGAGAACAAGATTGCCGTTGAAAAGCTGGACTTCTCGAACAGTCTTCCACCGTCTGATGGGCGCCGGACTGGGCGTGGGAGCCACGTTCAGGGCCATGTTAGGGTCGTCTGTGTAGCCATCTGTGTCCACCGGGTGAGGGGTATGCGAGAGATCGTAGTTGCTCGGTGTGTATGAGGGTTCATGGTGCAGTATAGGCACATGGTCGTCGTACTGTCTGGGAGGATAGCCCTGATGCGGCCGGTCGTAGTCGTCTGGGGGAGTGGCTGCGGGCTCGTACGGCTGTGTATAGTAGGCATCATGATGGGCCTCCGGAGACAGTGCCAGAGGACCCGTACCTGCAATCGGCCTGGGAGATGGTCTATATGGATGCTGCTCTTCATAGGCTTCGTTGTGGCCGTAGGAGTTTTGTATGTTTTCGACGGAATACTACAGCAGCAATATCAATATCGCGAACCAAACCATGATAACAGGGCAAACGAAAAAAAAAACTCACAGTAGGCTGGTACTGCAGTCTATCCGCCGAGGGCATCTCTAGATGCGTCATGGGCTGCTGCACCGGCTGATGAAAGGGGTTGTCTTCGAGCTGGTATCCGCCCTGGTAACGCCTCGACGGCGACGCGGGCTGGTGAGGATTCATCGAGGGCGACAGCGGCTCCTGCTCGGGCTCTGGAAATCAGGTCAGAGAAGACGAAGAAGACGAAGAACGACAGACGAAGATCGCAGCCGTTAAATACGAAGCCCCAAGCTGCGCGAAACAGCTTGCGACGACTTTGTTCAGGGATGGGGGGGAGCTCACCGTGAAGCCGGTTGTAGGCCATGTTTGCCGGAGGTGCAGATGGACAGCTGGATAGCAAGGCAAAGCAAAGAGCTCAGAGGCGAAGAGAAGGTCTATTTAACGAGGGACTAGAAAACGATAGGAAGCGAGCGCGAGGCTTGCTCTTCGTCTATCTCGCGGTCGCAGTGGCTGTTCTGCGTCTGCGTCTGCGTCTGCGTCTGCGCTGCTTTCGGCGTCTTGTCACTAAATAACTGCGTTTTCTACCAGCGCAAAGCCTTCCGGCTGCGCCAAGTTTGTTGGTCGACCAAGCAACGCGCAGCTTGTGGCGCAGGATCTAATTATACACACCAGACACCGGGTCGTCGTCTTGGGTTTGGTACGAGGATAAGCAGATAGCGAGCAGGCAGCCGGTGAGTGACTCTGGGGGGAGATGGCCGCAGGCGGCTTGCTGATGGTTCGTTGACAGGCGGTTGCCTCGACGCAGAGACAGCGACAGCGAGCAACAGGCGACGCATCGACAGAGACAGCCAGAGTGTGACAAGCAAGATGACAGACGTTTCGGTGCTGTTCGTCTGCCTGGGGAACATCTGTATGTGGCAGATTAGCGGGATAACGATGACAAGGTCGATGATGGACGGTTGACTGACAGGACAGGCCGTTCACCCATGGCCGAAGCCGTCTTCAGACACATCGTCAGCAGCCGGGACGGCAAGACGGTGAGCTTCTCGAAGCTGGACTCTGCGGGGACATGTGCAGCGCATCTTCACGACCCTCCGGACCCGCGGACGATGTCGACGCTGAAGAAACACGGCATCACAGACTTCACACATGCAGCCCGCCGAGTCAAGACGTCCGACTTCACCGAGTTCGACTACCTCATCGCCATGGACCAGGAGAACTACGACTCGCTGATGTACTCCCGCAGCAGAGTCAAGGGGGAGAAGCTCGCCGAGGTGAGGATGTTTGGAGACTTTGACGCTGACAGGCTGGCGGACGGCGGCAGAGGGGAGAGCGAGGAGGTGCCGGACCCTTACTACGGAGGCAGAGACGGCTTCGACCGTGTCTATGACATGGTCACCCGGCTGTCCAACGGGTTTATAGACTATCTGGAGAAGAAGCATGCAGTTGATGCCGCCAATTAGAAGATTATTCATATCTTACAACCATAGTCTTTTACATCTTAGATACTTATACTCGCTGCGAGATCTGAATGGCAGCTCGACAGCCCAGCCTGATGACCCCTATAAGCGGTTCGTATGGTTTGGCTTCCTTTGCATCGTTCTCGACCGCATGATCCAGGTGCTCCAGCTCCTCGTCCCTGATCCGCTTCAACGTCTGCACCAGCTGCTTCAGCTCGTCCGGGACCACCTCCCCGCGGGCCTCAGCGTCCTCCATCCAGCCTGCCAGAACCCGTATCTGGTCGTTGTAGTGCGTTCCGATCTCTGTCTCTACGGCTTCGGTGCATGCCATGGCCGCCTCCCGGCCCATCACGCCTGTCGACCACCCGAGAAACGTGGCTGCGGCCTGCCAGGCGGGGTACATGGCCGTTGGGCGCACGCGGTGGGATGCCAGCATCTCGGTGAAGACAGAGAAATGGCCTGCTTCCTGGTCGTACATGTGTTTCATCAGCGGGCGGAGGTGAGGGTGTGAACGCAGGACGGGGGGGCTCTGGGCCGCGTAGATGAGGGTTGCGGCCAGCTCGCCCGCGTGGTTGACTCGGAGGGCACTGCTCAGGTACGCCTTTTGCGATTCACTCAGTTCCATCATCTTCTTGCCGCCATTGTCTTTGTTCTTGCTGCTGCTGCTGCTGCTGTCGTTGATATCCCGTGTAGAGCTGCTGTACCGAGCTTGTATCTTGTATGCTGGCTGCGCGGTTGACAGACACCTCCGGCACGCCGGCCGCACTCGGGACACCAGCCCAGCCATTTCTCCTCCAGTCCGCTGCCTTACACTCTCTCTTCCTCTCCAGTGTCTTTATTCTGTCTTCTCTTCTGCCTCGTCTTCTCGTCTTCCCGCTTGTTTGTCGCTTTTTCTCTCCGGCTTTTGCTTTCCTCGACGTCAAAACTAGGCCCATCACGTGATCCAATCTTTCAACTTCAACTTTTTCGTGGCGAAAAGAAAGACGAGAAGAAGAAAAAGGCGAAACGAACGAGCGAGCGAAGAGGCATCAGCAGCAGTCATCGCCATCAGCAGGCAGAAGTCGACTAGTTAGGGAGACGCCAGAGACACGTGCGGGAAAAGGACCGGAGAACGAGGCCGCTCTGTGATATCCAGCGGGCGTCTCCAGCTAGCAACACCTCCACGACCGCCCTTTGACCGGCGTCCTCAGCAACACAGCGGCAGCAGCAGCAGCAGCAACACACGCCCGGATATCACTCGCCTAGCCAAAGACTTCTCGTGTCCTCTGCCTCGTTCGGCTGCCTCGCGGTCACAAAGGAACACAAGACAGGGAGAAGAAAGAGGAACACTCGCGCCTTCGCCATGGCTGACCTGGACGCTGAGCTGCTTGCCCTGGCGGGAGGCGATGATTCTTCTGACGAGGAATCTCCCGCTATATCGCAGCAGGGGGACAAAGATAAAGAGCGTCAGGCCTCTCCAGGCAGCTCATCCTCCAACGACCAAGACGACGACGCGGACAACATGGGTCGCAAGGGGGTAGCCCGGCCGGTCAAGCGCCAGCGCAAGAGAGCCAGAGCATACGATGACGAAGAGGAAGAGGGCGAGCTGTAAGTCACTCCTTTTTCACCGTCGTTGCAAGTCAATCGATATTGTGCAGGCATCTCTACTGTCAGCCTCAAGCTGTATTCTTACCAACGATACCCCTCAGCTCAGCTACCTACAATGAAACAAAAAAGATTCTAGACTGACAGCTAACGAGTATATAGATCCTCTTCTAGTGTTCACTCTCGACGCTCCCTTCGATCAGCCTCCATGTCCGAATCAGAGTCAGATACCTCTCCTCCTCCCGAAGAGAACCAGGGCCCCATCTTTCCTTACGAGAAGCTATTCTACTCCGCCAAAGACAAGAGTGAAATCATGGCTCTTCCTGAAATCCAGCGAGAGGAGCTGCTATCAGAACGAGCTCAGCAGGTCGACCGTCATAACCAGGATATTGCCCTCCGCCGTTTGCTAGCCAACAGAGAGCGAGAGGAAGCCCGTGCCGCGGCTAAGAAGAAGCGCAAGGCCGGCTCAGCCGATTTGGAAGACAGCCAGCGCAAGAGCTCACGCAAGAAGACGGTTCTCGGTGGACGCAAAGTGGGTGAGCCCTCAGATGCAATCGAAGCATACAAGCGTCAGAGAGAGCAAAAGGGAAAGCGAGATGAGCAGCGTCGGCGTGATGCTTCTTCACGAAAGAATAACAACGCCAGCAGCTCTCCAGCTCGAGAGGCAGATGATCGAGACGCCAGCGGTGAAAGTGAGGTCGAGTGGGACGATAAACCCCAGCGCCGGAGTGTAACACCCCCGCGTTACGATCCCCCAGCTGAACTGCGGGAGTTACAGCGTGCCAGAATTGCACGCAGCAACTTTGCCCAGGTCTGTTTCTATCCTGGCTTCGATCAGGCTATCAGCAACTGCTACACCAGAGTCAGCTTGGGACCAAACCCGTCAACTGGAAAACCAGAGTACAGAATTGGGCTGATCAAGAGTATGTCCATATATGCCTTTCTAGTTTCTCTGCACATGACACTTTGCTAATATTGCTTAGGATTCACCGAAGGACGTCCGTATGCTATCGAGGGGCCAAATGGACGCAATTTTGTCACTACTCAGTACTGTCTTCTGGCTCATGGCAAAGCTGAAAAGGAGTTCCCCTTTATCGCCTGTTCCGAATCCCCCTTCACTGAGGTAGGTTATATATTAAAGAGAAAAAGGGTCCTATCGAGGGTAAACTGACATTATTAGGCTGAATTTAACCGCTATCGGAAAACCATGGCAGTGGATGGCCTCAAGATGCCCACAAAGTCCGCTGTCGACAAGAAAGTAGCAGACATCAACCGTTTGCTGGCGCACGACTTCACTAAAGAGGAGCTCGAGGAGAAGCTTCGTCGCCAGGGCACAAACGACAACAAACAGCTCGTCTACAACCGCATCCAGCTTGAGCGTCGCCGCAACGAGGCCATCGCTAACAAGGATGAAGCCGTCATCGCAGAGTGTGATGCTGAGCTCGCTCGTCTGACTGGGCCCAAGCTCGCTTTTGGCACCACACTGGTCAAGCCACGCCCTAACGAGAAGACTCAACAAGAACGTCTCGCTGAGCTAAACATGCGCAACCAGAAGCTCAACACCGAGAATGTGCGCAAGGCCCAGCTGGCCGAGCGTAAGGCAGCAAAACTAGCCGCCGCCGCCGTCGCCCGAGGAGAGGCCGTCGCCGACCGCTTTGCACGTGTCAAGACCAGAGCGAGGACGTACTACGAGTCCACGGATGGCCATCTCGTCCCCGTCAAGCCCGAGGCCGTCATTGCTGATCGCAGCCGCGCCATCACCCCGACCACCACCAGTAACAACACCGATGCCACCAACACGCCTGCCAACGGAACCACACCCCGCAGCGTCACTCCGTCCAAGCCAGCCACCCCAAAGGTCTACAAGGGCGTCCCTGTCATTCGTCACCGGCCTACGGATGAGGACAACATCGCTGCCCTGGACTTGGACATCGACATCGAGATCTGACCTTCATACGCTAGCTACCAAATCTTTTACACCTGTATCACCATGATCTTTTTCCTTCTTCTACCCGTGTATCTTGTCTTTTACATGCGCGCTCGGAGTTATAGCGACGGAGAGGAACCTGGCTGGGTCTTTTACACATCTCTTTATGCCGTCTTTCTTCTGCTTTCCACTGAATAAATAAATAATACAAAAATGTCCTCCTATGTATTTTGATCTGCTGTTTCTGCTTCTCGGCCAATCACTCCATCACGTGATGGAATGGAGGTAACTTTTAGGTTTATTAGTAAGCCTGAGACCCACTTTAAAGTCAAGTGGTCTGTGCATGATGATCGAATCCCAAAAAGGAAATAGATGACGCCGATCACTTAAAAGCTACATCAAAACATCGAAAGCAACAACGCAAAGCGAAAAGGCAAACGAAAGATACAAAACAGACAACTCGATATATATCAAATACGACGCATCCTCCGACGCCAGTCCCTGTATACAGCAAGGCTACCACAGCACTCGAGACGCGGGCGCCGGAGCCTGGCTTAGCTTGCCCGCATCCCTGTCCAACTATATATAACACGAACTGCTTACCTGTCCATTTCAACGACCGGGATGGCCGGATAATCTACTGCGGGCTTGTCGACCTTGCCTGACCCGAGAATAAGAACGAAAATCGGAGATCTCAAGTCTACGTCGCCCATCACATACTAGCTAGCTGCTTTTGTGCGAAGATGGCGGGCATGGAGGAATTGGAGATACACAGCAAGGTAAATAGGGCCGCATCCCCTTTGCAGCAGGGGAGTCCTGGATGATTCACAAAGTCCCCTCCGTCGATGTATCCATAGCGGCTAACGTCTGTTATGTTCCTGTCTTGTCTCAGTCGTATCTCGTCCGCTGGATAAACGTCAGCGCTGAACATACGATATCGTGGAGCATCCAGCCACATAAGAAGTCCCTCAATTTTGGAATCTTCAAGCACCCCGGCGCCTCGGGGCTTGCAGTCAACAGTGCTGCCTCTACATATTCGCAGACTACGGGAAGTGAAGTCAACGATCTTTCAAAGGAGAACAACGGCCCCGCCAAACAGACGGATTCCTCGCTTTTAATCACCGAGAAGCTCAAGGGTGTTGGGCTGAAACCGATCGAGTGGATTGGGAAATGTGAGGCCGACAAGATATCTCAGGGGACGTACGATGTGGGCGCCAGCGAGGGAGGGAACTACGCACTTGTGTTTGACAACACATTCTCTAAACAAATCTCCAAGACCGTTACGTTCGTCCTGCTCACGTATCCTACCAGCTGCCCGCCGCGGTCCGGGCACCAGGTCCATCACACTCAGGCCATAGCAGGCCCGATCGGATCACAGGCCCCCTCGCGTCCCAGCCCGAAACTCAACGCAACTGATACAGAGGCGGAGGCAAAGGCTCGGGCTCAGCAGCGAGGACGACCTGGGTTCGGCGCTGCTGCAGCAATTCGAACGGACCACTTCCCACATCAGACTCGTCTACAAGTATCGCACCATCC